TTCGCTACGAGATCTCATATCAGAGCAGAATATTTAGATTGTAGGTTATGGCTATGGCAGAGTCAGGGGTGGAGCTGAATGAATAATGGTTACACAAACAAATTTCTAAGTCTCAAATGAGACCATGGTTGATCTGAGAAAGTTAGGAGAAGGCTGTGTCCAGTTTCTTTCCCGTGTGTGTGTGTGTGTGTGTGTGTGTGTGTGTATGTGTGTGTGTGTGTCTGCATGATCCTAAGACTGGCTGCAGTACACTGCTTCTTTCCAGGGTAAGATTTACCTAGAATGATCCTGTCACATTTCTTCTGCCTTGGGAACAGAATTTACAAGGTGGTCCTTGTAAGTGCCAACTAGAAGTTAAAGCAAATTTGTATGCAGTAATATTCTGAGTATGTGATAAAATGTTGACTCAGAAAGATTATCTCTCTGATGTTAAACATGCTTTATTCTCCAATGAGTGCATGAGATAAAAATCACCCAAATAAAACAGCAAAGTTGAAAGGAGAACATATAACATTTCTAATTATTTACAATGAGCTTAATATTTCCTCAGATTGAAACATTTTAAAGATTTGGCTCAACTTGTAAGGGCCAAACATATCAGCAGATGTTTGTTCTGGCTAAGAGTAGCATTGCCTGCAAATATCAGAGACCAAGGCTGATATTTGAAAGTTTGGAAAGCTTGTGCTTTTATTTGGTGTCACAGAGAAACAGGATCTACATCTCTTATTGCTAAGCCTTTGGTTTGTTTCAGCTAATTGCCTCTATTTGGGTATTTAGCTTACACCAATTCCTTACTTCAAGTATTGATACTTTTGTGCATAATAAAGATTTCTTTATTCTTTTTTGGGGGGGTGAGGAAGGCAGGAAGGGAGGGAAGAAGGATGGTAGGGAGGAAGGAAGGGATGAAGGAAGGAAGGAAGGAAGGGAGGAAGCGGGGAGGGAGGGAGGGAGGGAGGGAGGGAGGGAAGGGAAGAAAGGAAATCAAGCAATGAAAGAGACATTGCCGACCTGGATCTAGAGGTTTACAAGTTGATTTCTTTTTTTTTTTGAGAGAAGGAAAGAAAAAAAAATAATAAGTAAAGGAGAGGAAGAAAGAGGAGAGAAAGAGGGAGAGTAAATGGAAATATTGCTTTATTTTGAAAAAAAATTGGGTATTAATAATGGCCAATCAATGTTTCATTTAAACCAATGGGTAGGTGTGATGTGGTATTGACAAGAATGTATATTTTGTGTATTTGAAGTGGAGAGCTCTATAAATATTTATTAAGTTTACTTGTTCTGGATCTGAGTTCGAGTCCTTGATATCCTTATTAATTTTCTGTCTCATTGAATCTAAGTCTCCTATCTGGGTGTTAGGATCATTAGCTCTTGTTGTTGCATTGATCCTTTTACCACTATATCTTTGTTGCTTTAAAATCTATTTTATCCGATACAAGAATTGCTACTCCTGATTTTTATTTATTTATTATTTATTTTTGCTCTCCATTTGGTTGGTAAATCTTTCTCCATCCCTTTGTTTTGAGTCTTTGTGTATCCTTGCATGTGAAACAGGTCTGGATGTAACATGCCGTTGGGTTTTGGCTGTGTCTTTTGATTAGGGGATTTAGTCGATTTAAATTTAGGGTTACTGCCATTTGATGTTGACTGGCTGTTTTATCCATTCGTTGGTGTAAATTCTTCTTTATGTTGGTGCTCTTTACTTTTTGGTGTATTTTTAGAAAGGCTAATACTGGTTGTTTCTTTCTGTGTGTAATGCTTCTTTCAGAAGCTCTTGTAAAGCAGGCCTGGTGGTAATAAAATCTCTGAGTTCTTGCTTGTTCATAAAAGATTTTATTTTTCCTTCAGTTGTGAAGCTTAGTTTGGCTGGATATGAAATTCTGGGCTGAAGGTTCTGTTCTTTGAGGATGTTGAATATTGGCCCCCACTCTCTTCTGGCCTGTAGAGTTTCTGCTGAGAGATCTGCTGTAAGTCTGATAGGCTTGCCTTTGTGGGTTATCTGACCTTTCTCTCTGGCTGCCCTTAGTATCCTCTCTTTCGTTTCAACCCTGGTGAATCTAACGATTATGTGCCTTGGGGTTGCTCTTCTTGAGGAATATTTTTGTGGTGTTCTCTGTATTACCTGGGGTTGAATGTTGACCTGCTTTGCTAGTTTAGGAAAATTTTCCTGAATAATATCCTGAAGGGTATTTTCCAGCTTGGGTTCATTCTCTCCGTCGCATTCAGGTACACCTATCAAACGTAAATTTGGTCTTTTCACATAGTCCCACATTTCTTGGAGACTTTGCTCATTCCTTTTTATCCTTTTTTCTCTAATCTTTTCTTCACGTTTTATTTCATTAAGTTGGACTTTGACCTCTGATATCCCTTCTTCTGCTTGAACAATTCGAGTGTTTAAACCTGTGCATACTTCTCGGAGTTCCTGTATTGTATTCTTCAGTTCCATTAATTCACTCATACTCCTCTCTAAGTTGTCTATTCTCAATAGGATTTCATCAAATCTTTTTTCAAAGTTCCTAGTTTCTTTACGTTGGGCTACAACATGTTCTTTTAACTCACCGAAGTTTGTTATTATCCATTCCTTGAAGAGTGATTCTGTCATCAGGAGGCGCTCATTCTCCATCAAGCCTTGTTCCATTGTTGATGTGGAACTGTGATCATCTTTAGAGGGAGAGGCGTTCTGACTTTGAGTATCCTCAGCTTTTTTACGTTGGTTTCTTCCCGTCATTGTAAATTTATCCTCCTTTCAGATTAGGTCTCTTGAGTGGACGTCCAGGTTGTTAGTTCCCAGGGCTAGAGCAGCGGCGTTAAAACTGATGGTGCTTTTCTGCCCAGGATTCTCCTGTCGGGCTTCCTTCTTGTTTCCGTAGTAGGTGACTCTGCCTTCCCGGGGCTCCAAACCTCGGTCAGAAGGCGAACCGGTCCCGTTTACTCTGCGCCGAGTGCTGCTGCACCGAGGTGCCGGCGGAACCGCTCCGCCGACCACGAGAGTCGCGCTGGCGACTCGTGTGTTTCCACCACTGGGGGATCTTCTGCTCCGTGAGCGACCAGCCTTTGTCTGGAAGTGTGGCATCCTCTAGTTCTCCACGCCTTCCCTGAGAGCTGCAATCCCGGGATGTTAGCGATCGGCCATCTTGGATCGTTCCAAGATTTCTTTATTCTTAAATCATTGACTAGGTGATTACTATGATTGACTTAAACTGTTCAACATTAACTCTTCAACTGGAGAAAAATTTACCTACTTTGAAGACTGGAAGTCCAACTAAAACCAGGATTCTATTAGAAAAAGGAGGAAGGTGAAGTGGATTTGGGGTAGGCAAACGACACCGTATTCTGTAGTATTCCTACAGACATATCTACAAACACACGTTTTCACATATTTGCATGTCATTTATGCACACATGCATTTATGACACCATATACTTAAATATAATATGTTCATACATTTATGCAAGAAACCTAAGCACAGCAAACAAAAAATGATGCAAGAGGAAATGATAGGATTATGTGTATTGGGAAATAACAGAAGTGGGTGAAAATAGGATGAGTGTAAAAGAATGTAGACCATGAATGGGGTGGGAGAGGATGAGGGTAGAATGAGGGTCGTGCATTTGGTAAATGGTTTGATAAAGGAGAAGGTAATGGCTGGGGAGGTGGCTTTGTGGGAAGCTTGAATAGGAAGGAAGGGACTACAGAAGTAGTTTACAGAAAGAGTATTTTGTAGATTTCAGGATGGATGTTTGACAGCCATACAAAGTAGACCCAGCAGTACAGGCATCCTTTCATATGAGTCATGAAAAATGAATACACGTTTTTCCTACATAAAATTAAAACCAGGCCGGGCACAATGATACCTCATGCCTGTAATCTCAGCACTTGGGGAGGCCCAGAAGGGCATATTACCTGTGGTCAGGAGTTCAAGACCAGCCTCACCAACATGGCAAAAGCCCATCTCTACTAAAAACACAAAAATAAGCCAGGAATGGTGGCCCTTGCCTGTAATCCCAGCTACTCAGGAGGCTGAGGCAGGAGAATCGCTTGAACCTGGGAGGCAGAGGTTGCAGTGAGCCAAAATCACACCATTGCCCTCCAGCTTGGGCAACAAGAGTGACACTCCATCTCAGAAAAAAAATAAATAAATAAAAGAAAGAAAAATTAAAACCATTGCACTATTGTATTAGGATGGATAGTTATGTTACGGTCAAAATTGTTGCTTGGCCAGGTGCAGTGGCTCACTCCTGTAATCCCAGCACTTTGGGAGGCCAAGGCAGGCAGATCATGAGGTAGGATTCAAAACCAACCCGGCCAACATGGTAAAACTCTGCCTCTACTAAAAATACAAAAATTTGCTGGGCGTGGTGGCACACATTTGTAATTCCAGCTACTCAGGAGGCGGAGGCAGGAGAATCGCATGAACCCGGGAGGCAGAGGTTGCAGTGAGCCAAGATAGTGCCATTGCACTCCAGCCTGGGCGACAAAGCAAGACTAAATCTCAAAAAAAAAATTGTTGCTGAAGGGTCACACAGATTGTCACATTGACTTACATCCATGATTCATCTTGTCTAGATTTCTGTGACTAACTAGATGTCCTTCCTCCTGTCAAAGCTAAATGTCAAATCTTAAGTTTCTCTTCGTGTCCACCTCTTATTTTGTCAGCATAAACTTGTTCACCTCTTCTACTATGTTATGATTTTTAAATATTTTGCAATACTGAAGGAAATTTAAGGGAAAAAAACCACAGAGTTTCCTATGTCTAACAGTACTGATTTTTCATCCATGTTCTCTCCTGGTGTTTATTCACTATGCATATAACTTAAACGTGTAAATGTCCTGCTTTCCTCTTGCCAAACATGACACCTCAAATATTTTCCATGATGCTACATGATTCACCTTTTTAATAATTTTGGATTACATAATTCTAAATCTTGATACATTAAAATGCTTAGTTTTATAATATATTTTATTACTGGTATGAATGTGACTGTCTGTCCTCCTGTACCTAGGTATAGAAGTTGGTCCTCTGCCTCAAGGGGTTCTGAGAGCTGATATCTGGGATCAAATGAGAACAATGATTAAACATGCTCTTGATTTTATACATCATTTCAATGAAGGTAGGTAAGTAACGAAGGTAATGTATATAAAATTTAACCACCAAACATTTAAGTTACAATTGGAACCTAGGTCAAATGTGCCAGGCCAATGACATTAAGTGCTTTAAAAAAATTTGTTTACTTCAGCCATTCCAGAATGAATGCATCTACACATTCAAGAAAAGCATCTATCAAAGAAAGCCTCCAAATTAAATTTTTATTTCCTATTAATCTCTATTTTAAAAGGAAAAGAAAAGGCTAGAAAATACAAATGCCCAGTAAACATATGAAAAGATGTTCAACATCACTAGTAATTATAGAGAAATGCAAATTAAAATAAGAAACCATTTCCCCCATTAAGTTGGGAAAATATTAAATTCTGACAATATTAAGCATTGGTAAATGTTCAGGAAAGGGGGCAGTCTCATTCCCTGCTGGTGAACATATAAGTTGGTAAAGACTTTTTTTTTTACAGCAATCACTTATCTTTCCAGATTAGCAAAGACATTTTAGAGGTTAATTTTACAGTATCCATTTCTTAAAACACACCACTAGTCTGGGCTTGGTGACTCACGCCTGTAATCCAAGCACTTTGGGAGGCCAAGGCAGGCAGATCACCTGAGTTCGGGAGTTTGAGACCAGCTTGGTCAACACGGTGAAACCCTGTCTCTACTAAAAATACAAAAATTAGCCAGGTATGGTGGCAGGTGCCTGTGATCCCAGCTACTAGGGAGGCTGAGGCAGGCAGGAGAATCGCTTAAGCCTGGGAGGTGGAGGTTGCAGTGAGACGAGATCACGCCACTGCACTCCAGCCAGATGGACAAGGGCGAGACTGAGTCAAAAACAAAACAAAACAAAACACCAAACTTATTACCCAGCAATTCCACATCCCAAAGAAACACAAGCATGACCAACATGTTGCTTACAAAGACTGTGATTCTGCATCATGTATAACAGCAAAAGAATGGAGACAGCACCAATGTCTATCTGTTGGTGGACAGATAAATAAACTAACATGGAAGAATCTTCAAAACACATTGGTAATTAGCAGAAAGCAAGCTCTAGACCAAGACATTCAGGACACCAATTGGCTTTAAAATAATGATTATAATAATAATCACTTGCTAGGATACAGATATATGTTAACATATCACAGGAAAAGTCCTAGAAGAAAACACACCAAAATGATCACAGTGGTTACCAGGAAGAGGAGGAAAGACCCAGGCTAATTTTGCCTTCATTATAGTCAATAAGAATGATGCATTCATATATTATTTCTGTAATTAAAAATAAATTAAATGGAGACTGGTGGACAAGGTGCATATATGGAACCCTAGGTACTATCTGCTCATTTATTTATTAAGTAATTTATTTGGTAAATCTAAAACTGCACTAAAATGTCTATTAATTATAAAAAATAAATTTAAGTTGGAAAATAATTGCTTAAAATCAAAGAGACATTCTGTGAACAATTATTCCAGCAGACCGAGCTGGAATTGCTGTTGAGGAATGGGTAATGACAGTAACAGAGCTGGTGAGTACCTCAGTGTCTCTGGGGAGTAAATTCCTTTGCCTCGGATGGTGCATCCTGCTGCAGTCACAGGCTTTTATTTTGTGTTTGGGGATCCTTGGACTCCAAAATCATGAAAATTGAACATTTGATTTTCACCATCTTTGTCTGAGGGCAGGTTCTGTACTGTTTAATGGAACTGGTTTTGAGAAGATCACAACATATTTGCAATAAACCCTCTGAATAGTAAGTGTAGAACTACAATATGTTAAGAAGTGATACATTCAGATAGAAGGCACAAATCTGGGTGGAAAACAGGATTTTCAGATTATGGACCATAGTATCCTCTCACAGGGTGGAGAAAAGCAGTTCCTGGAATACCTTACCTCTTATCTCTGAGTCAACTGAGTTGTTCTGTATGTCATAGCTCTTCTGTGTAATATTTCATTTAAGCAAAGGATTCTGCAATTAAAAAATTGTCAACCACAATTTATTTAGACTATCCAGCTTGGTGAATTTTCAACTGAGCACACGAATCCAAAGAATGCTGACAAATAAATCAGACCCGCCTAGTGAAAAGTCTCAAGAAGTGTGTAGAAGGACTTCATCCTTGACTCTGTACTACTCGGAATTATAGTTAGTGACCTGAGTGACAGGTCATAGGAAGGTAGCAGGAAAACACCCTGCTTGAGGAGGCAGATCCCAGGAGTCCTGACAATCTTTAACAATCTTTTAAACCAAACATTAAAGGCTAACAACATCAGGGACAAAGTTTTGCTCTTATGTTTAGAAAAAAAATCCCAGAATAAGGAAGGTCATGGTCTTTTTTCTGCCTTGAATAAACAACACTGGAAAACTGTAAGTCAATAATCCAAGAGAAACATCTATAAAGAGGAATTTAGCCAAGGAGACATTGAGAATGTTGAAGAGCTTGAAAACCATGATGAGAATAATTTCTGGTTCATGCCTCTAATTCTGCACTTTGGGAGGCCAAGGCAAGTGGATCACTTGAGGTCAGGAGTTCAAGACCAGCCTGAGCAAAATGGAAAAACCTCGTCTCCACTAAAAATGCAAAAATTAACTGGGTGTGGTGGTGCATGCCTGTAGTTCCAGCTACTCTGGAGGCTGAGGCATGAGAATCGCTTGAACCCAGGAGGCGGAGGTTGTGGTGAGCCAAGATTGTGCCACTGCACTCCAACCTGGGTGACAGAGTGAGACAATCTCAAAAAAAAAAAAAAGGAAAGAAAGAAGTCTACATTGGAAATAAATTAGACATATTTTCTGTGACTCAGAGAGCAAAAGAGAATCAATGAGATAAAGTTACCTAGAGGCAGAAAATTTTCTCTTTTTTTCTTTTTCTTTTTTGAGACAGGGTCTCACCCTCTTGTCAAGGCTGGAGTGCAGTGGTGTGACCATGGCTCACTGGAGCCTCAACCCCCTGGGCTCAAGCAGTCCTCCCACCCAGCATCTTGAGTTGCTGAAACTATATGTGAGCGCCACCACTCTGGCTAATTTTTGTGTTTTTTTGTAGAGATTAGGTTTCACCATGTTGCCCAGGCTGGTCTTGAACTCCTGAGCTGAAGCAATCTGCCCACCTCGGCTTCCTGAAGCACTGGGGTTACAGGCCTGCACCACTGCACCTGGCAAGACAGAAATCTTGTTAACAAATCTGAGCAGCCATGAAACAGGCCACACTTTGTGAGGCTGTTCATGCAGAAGTAAGATGACTATGTGGCCAGAACAATATGGAGAATACTCAAACATAGATGGAAGTTAGGCTTTCAAGCCTCCTTCCAACTCTGAGTAGCAAAAACATACTCCTCTGTGTTCCATCAGTTTTTACTTTCTTCTTATCAAACATTCTGGTTTAAAGACATGAGATCTGGTAAGTTCCCATCTTCATCTTGGAAGGTGTGGTAGGTTTTAATTCTTCCCTTTCCTGCATCCACATCCTGGCAGTGTGAGGTTTCATATCGTTCTGTTCAGAGATAGAGTCAGTCTATTTTCCCACTCCTTGACTGTCTGGCTCGGCCACGTGCCTTGTTTTGTGCCATGGAAAAGGCTTGAAAAGCGCTTGCACACTGCAGCTTGCTCTCTTTCTGCCCTTGGAAGCCCTGTACATGTACCTTTATGCACACCAGTTCACATTGGGCTGCTGGATGCTGGAAGCCGATGAAGTGGAAAACTCAGGCACCCTCACAGACAGTCATGCAACTCCAGCTGACAGATGTAAGAGTCAGGTCATCCCATATGGTCCAACTTCCCGATGAGCTGTCAGCTCACCACAAGGGCATGAACGAAACAATAAAAAATCAACAAAGCCAGTGTAGACCAAAGGAACTTCCCAACCAACCCATAGAATCATGAACTAAATTAAGAGGTGATTGTTTCAAGCCACCGAATTCTGGGATAGTATATATGTTATGCAGCAAAAGCTAACTGATAGAGAAGTGATCGCTGGGTATCCCCATTCTAACTCTGCTCTAATGGCAAAGGAAGCCTTTCCTTTCACTTGTGGCCATAACACGCTGTGGGCCCTACATTGCATCAAAAGTTCATCCTATTTGCTCAGAGATAGCCTGGTATATATATAAACTACTCCTTTTCTAGGTTTCTGGGAATTGCGTTGTTTGATGTTGCTGCATCTTTGGAATTTGGTCTCTACCATTGGCAGCCTGCTTGCATCCCAAGAGATCATTGCTCAGGAGCTGTCCCAGTGTTTAATGTACTAAGTTAAGAAAAAGAGACCAGGCACGGTGGCTCACACCTGTAATCCCAGCACTTGAGGCCGAGGCGAGCAGATCACAAGGTCAAGAGACTGAGACCTTCCTGCCCAACATGGTGAAACCCTGTCTCTACTAAAAATACAAAAATTAGCTGTGTATGGTAGCATGCACCCATAGTCCCAGCTACTTGAGAGGCTGAGACAGGAGAATCCCTTGAATTTGGGAGGCAGAGGTTGCAGTAAGCCAAGATCACACCACTGCACTCCAGCCTGAGCAAGAAAGTGAGACTCCATCTCAACAACAACAACAACAAGCACAAGACCAAAGTCACCTAAGTTGCTGGAACTCCTCCTGAAAATATGCAGTCATAAAATATCATGGCTGGAAGGGCCCTCCAAGATAAGCCAATCCAATACCTTCATTTGACAGGTAAAGAAAGTGAGCCTCAGCCGGGCACGGTGGCTCAAGCCTGTAATCCCAGCACTTTTGGAGGCCAAGGCAGGTGGATCACGAGGTCAAGAGATCGAGACCATCCTGGTCAACATGGTGAAACCCCGTCTCTACTAAAGATACAAAAAATTAGCTGGCATGGTGGCACGTGCCTGTAATCCCAGCTACTCAGGAGGCTGAGGCAGGAGAATTGCCTGAACCCAGGAGGCGGAGGTTGCGGTGAGCCGAGATCGCACCATTGCACTCCAGCCTGGGTAACAAGAGCGAAACTCCATCTCAAAAAAAAAAGAGAAAGAAAGAAAAGAAAGTGAGCCTTGGCCAGATGCAGTGGCTCACACCTGTAATCCCAGCCTTTGGAGAGGCCCAGATGGGCGGATCATGAGGTCAGGAGTTCGAGAAGAGCCTGGCCCATATGATGAAACCCCATCTCTAAAACAAAAAAATACAAGAAAGAAAGTGAGCCTCAAGAAGCTAAGCATCTTGTTTGAGACTACAGAGCCAGGAGATTAGAGCCCAGGTCTCCTGACTCCCAGTCCTAGATTCCTTTTCTCCCAGACTGGCTTTTTAAGTTCTGTTTTCTACCTCTGTCCATCAGTGCCTTTGTGGACAGAGAGCTGACAGGAATAACTGAAGAACATCTTTTGCTGAGTGTTGTCTGTGAACATCCTTAACAAAACACGATCTGTTCTCCCCGTCCCTGTCTTCATTTTGTTACCGCTGTTGTTACTGTCTCTTCCTTACATTATCAATGTCCCTTTTTCCAGAGATTTTCTTTTTTTTTTTTTTTTTTTTTTTGAGATGGAGTTTCACTCTTTTTGCCCAGGCTGGAGTGCAGTGGCATGATCTCGGCTCACTGTAACCTCCACCTCCCAGGTTCAAGAAATTCTTCTGCCTCAGCCTTTTGAGTAGCTGGGACTGCAGATGCCCATCACCATGGCCGGGTATTTTTAGCAGAGATGGGGTTTCACCAAGTTGGCCAGGCTGGTCTCAAACTCATGACCTCAGGTGACCCACCAGCCTTGGCTTCCCAAAGTGTTTGGATGACGGGGTGAGCCACTGTGCCCAGCCCAGAGATTTTTTACTTGGCATTTATACATATTCTTTTTGTCATAGGAAAAGAATTTCCTTCCTGTGCCATTGAGGTCTATAAAATTATGGAGAAAGCAGATTATCCCAGGAATGAAAATAAAGAAATTGCTGCTATCATCCATCCTAATCTGCAGGTAACATTTATTTTTTCTTTAAAATATTGAAAATAATAATGCTGTATCTTTGAGTAGAAGTTTACAGTTCATACAGCACTTGGTGTACATTCGCTCATTTGATGCTCTCAAAGACACTGACGGTAGGGAAGATGCTCAGACAGTCGCTCAATAAATACGTTTTTTTAAAAAAATAGAGTTTCATTCTTGTTGCCCAGGTTGGGGTGAAATGACACAATCTCGGCTCACTGCAACCTCCACCTCCTGGATTCAAGCAATTCTTCTGCCTCAGCCTCTCAAGTAGCTGGGATTACAGGCATGTGCCACCATGCCCAGCTAATTTTGCATTTTTAGTACAGATTATACCTGTAATCCCAGCACTTTGGGAGGCCGAGGTGGACAGATCATGAGGTCAGGAGTTCGAGATCAGCCTGACCGACATTGTGAAATCCCATCTGTACTAAAAATACAAAAAGTAGGTGGGTATGGTGGGAAGCTCCTGTAACCCCAGCTACTCAGGAGGCTGAGGAAGGAGAATCAACTGAACCTGGGAGGCGGAGGTTGCAGTGAGCTGAGATTGTGCCATTGCACTCCAGCCTGGGTGACAAAGTGAGAGTCCATCTCAAAAAAAAGGAATAAGAAGGAGTCTTAGGCAGTGTTTTAAAGGAAAGGGAAAGACTGGGGGAGAAAAAGGAAGAAAGCACCACTGGTGACAAAAACACCAAATACAAGAAACAGAGGCCAAGGTGATGATGTCATGACAGGCTAAAGCAGGATTTTTCAAGTTTTAGGATACTCTTGAGGAGTACAGAAACAATCCTGGGGAGGCTGGGAAGTGAGAGGAATGAGCTCGGTGGCAAACGGGGTCAGCGGGAGGTCCTGAAACTGAGGAAGGAGAGCTTAGATTTCACGGACAATAAGGAATGGCTCAATATTCTACAGGAGGGATTGATCACTCAATTATGCCAACAAATATTTTTCAAGACAACTAAGCTTGTTCTGGGCCCTGAGATTCAAGATAGGGAAGGTTGGCTGGGCGCAGTGGCTCACAATTGTAATCCCAGCACTTTGGGAGGCCAAGGTGGGCAGATAACGAGATCAGGAGTTCGAGACCAGCCTGGCTAACATGGTGAAACCCTCTATCTACCAAAGATACAAAAAATTGGCTGGGTGTGGTGGTGGGCACCTGTAATCCCAGCTACTCAGGAGGCTGAGGCAGGAGAATCGCTTGAACCTAGGAGGTAGAGGTTGCAGTGAGCCAAGATTGCACGATTGTACTCCAGCCTGTGCAACAGAAAAAAAAGATAGGGAAGTTTCCTGATGTAACATCCATGCTAATGGGTGAGGAGAACTCACCACGAATACATAAACAATACATAAACCAAATCATTTCAAACTGTAATAAGTGCTACACAAGAAATAAGCAGAATGATACAGCAGAGGGTAACAAAGGGTTCCAATTCGATGGAGTGGTCACAAAGTGCCATCTCAGCGATGGTGACACTGAAGTTAAAACCCAGAAGATGAGAAGCCAGCTATGCAGAAGGCAAGTGAAAGGCCTCGAGGCTGGGACAAACTTGGAGTGCTTGAGGCACAGCAGCAAGAATACCTGGGTCCATGGAGAGTAGGAGTGAGTGGACGATGGCAGAGCCTGGAAAACACACAGTCTGGGACCAGACTGTGAGTCTAGATTTTGTCCTAACAGCGGTAGTTCTTAGTAAGGATGCTCCTTGGAATCACGGAGGGGATGCCCTCCCAAAGCCTGGAACCCACCACAAACTAGCCAAGTAGTGCTTCTCAAACTCAAGCCACATGAGAATGACCTGCAGAGCTTTTTAAAATGCAGATTCCTGCATCCCATTCCCAGAGGTTCTGATTTAATTCCTGAGTGTAGACAGGGAATCAGATGAGTTCACCAGGTGGTTTTCGTGTAGCTCAGCACGACATCAGAATCTCTGCAGGTAGGTCTAGTCCTTTGTGTGCTGAAGACATTCCTTTAGTGATTCTGGGGCAAGTCGCTGCCTGAAAACCACCGGTTCAGAAAAGTGGTTCTCAGCCAAGCCACCCCGTAAATCATCTGGGGCTTAAAAACAATAAACACAGAAAACAGTCAACTATAAATGGATAGCATGAGGGATTCGAGGAGGAGGTAAAAGAAGTATTTATCCAGCCAGGTGTAGTGGCTCATGCCTGTAATTCCAGCACTTTGGGAGGCTCAGGCATGTGAATCATGAAGTCAGGAGTTCAAGATCATCCTTGCTAACATGGTGAAACCACATCTCTACTAAAAATACAAAAAATTAGCCAGGCATGGTGGTGGGTGCCTGTAATCTCAACTACTCTGGAGGCTGAGGCAGAATTACTTGAACCTGGGAGGCAGAGGTTGCAGTGAGCCGGATTGTGCCACTGTGCTCCAGCCTGGGCCACAGAGTGAGACTCCATCTCAAAAAAAAAAAAAAAATGTATCCTGATTGCATGATTGTAGGTTCTGTGTGTCAAAACTCACAGAACTGTACAGAAAAATGAGTGGATTTAACTGTATGTAAATTTTTAAATAAAATTTAAAAATAATGATGCCTGGGCCCTACTCTGAGACTCTGATTTATCTGCAATGGGCCCGCCTCTCTACCTGTATATTTGTATTTGGCATCCCAAGTGATAATGATGTGCCATCAGGATGGAAAAAGTCTCTGTGATATGGCAGTTCTCAACATTCATGTTGTGCAGGTGAATGAGTGGGGACTCGTTAATGTGAAGATTTGGATGTGTCAGGTCTGCTGCATGTAATGAAATCCCACTTTTCTAATAGGCTCCTAGGTGATGTGGATGCTGCTGGGAAATGTTAGAAATGCAGAGTCTCAGGCCCCCGCCCCCAACCTATGGAACCAGAATCTTCATCTTAGTAAAATCCCAGGCTGGGTGCAGTGGCTCATGCCTGTAATCCCAGTATTTTGGGAGGCTGAGGTGGGTGGATCACCTGAGGTCAGGCATTTGAGACTGACCTGGCCAACATGGTGAAACCCCATTTCTACTAAAAATAAAAAAACTAGCTGGGTGTGGTAGTGTGTGCCTGTAATCCTAGCTACTCAGGAGGCTGAGGCAGGAGAATTGTTTGAACCCAGGAGGTGGAGGCTGCAGTGAGCCGAGATCACACTGTACCACTGCACTCCAGCCTGAAAGACAGAGTGAGATTCCATTTCAAAAAACAAACAAAATCCCCAGATGATTCACAAGCACATCAAAGTTTGAGAAGGACCATTCCAGGGTTCCTGTGGTGTGACAGCCTTGGTGCTTGAGGTCTCAAAGCTCCAAGTCCCCGGTGTAGGACCCTTCAGGAAACTCAGTTGTTACCCCGGTGTAGGAGCACATTTGGAGTACTCCCACCTGTCTCAGACTTTCTCCAGCCCAGCACTACCTTCTCCCGCCAATCCCCCCATCAGAATAGAACCTTCTTGCATGCAGGTTCAACATGGCTCACTTTTATGTTTCCCAGCAGAGAATGTCCTGAACGCAGAAGATTCTTAGTGGCTATTTCCTAAATTTTGCTAAACAGACTTTAACTTGAGCTGGCAAGAGGTGGAATGTGCACTTACAGACATGCACTTAGTTCTGCCTTTTAATGTTGTCAATCCCTTTGGCTACATTCACGGTAAACCTGGTATTGAAGCAAACTATTTTTTATTTTTTTAGAGACAGGGTCTCGCTCTGTCACCCAGGCTGGAATGCAGTGGTGTGTACACAGCTCATTGCAGCCTCGACCTCTGTGGGCTCAAGCAGTCCTCCCACCTCAGCCTCCTGAGCATCTGGGACTACAGGCATGCAGCACCATACCCAGCTAATTTTTTGTATGTTTTTTAGAGACAGGATCTCTATGTTGCCCCCGCTGCTCTTGAACTCCTGGGCTCAAGCAATTCACCCACCTCGGCCTCCACAAGTGCTGGGATTACAGATGTGAGCCACTGCACCTGTCTGAAGCAAACAATAATTACATATGTCAATTATGAAAATTTAAAAGGGAGCTTTTTTTTTTTTCGAAACAGAGTCTCCCTCTGTCACCCAGGCTAAAGTGCAGTCACACGATCTTGGCTCACTGCAGCCTCTACCTCTCAGGTTCAAGCAATTCTAGGCCTCAGTCTCCCGAGTAGCTGTGATTACAGGCACCTGCCACCATGCCTGGCTAATTTTGTATTTTTAATACAGACAGGGTTTCACTATCTTGGCCAGGCTGGTCTTGAACTCCTGACCTTGTGATCCAGCCTCCCAAAGTTCTGGGATTACAGGAATGAGCCACCACACCCTGCAGGAACTCTTAAAAGTACTGCCAAAATTCATTCCCCAATTTCAGCGTAGTCAGACCACTTGCCTGAATCTCGATGTCTCTCTCAAGGGTCTCTTTTAAAAGAGTAGAATACTGTAATGTGTTAGTTGCCTAGAATCTGACATAGATTTTTAAAGGAGAAAAGCCAAATATAATGTATTCATTTTGATTGTTTCCTGAGAGGATCAAGACCGGAAACCATTGCACCCTGGGGATCCGTGTTTTTAACTCTTGACGGAAAGATGATCCCACTGGGTGGACACTGTACCGTGTACCCCGTGTTTGTGAATGAGGCCGCATATTATGAAAGGAAAGAAGACTTTGCAAAGACAACTAAACTCACACTCCATGCAGAGAGCATTCACTGCTCTTTACATTAGAAATCACTTCTAGCTCTCATCGTGTACATGTGTCTTACACATTCTGCTAGTTTGTAAGCTCCTCAAGAGCAGGGCTGTGCCTACTCAACTGCACACAGAGCTCCTAGCACAGTGCCTTACCCAGTAGGCATCCAAGCAAATGTATTAAATTAATTCATATGTCTTAAAGATACCATACTTTAAGTATGTAGCTTATTCAAAGAAGTGTTTTCTATTTCTGTATAGTTTATTATACATACTACTTTGGTAGTTCGACATTCTCAATAAACAGCCTTGTATTCAGAATATAAGATGGAAATAGAGGTATATATAAAGTTACTGGTTTTATGCTGCTTTGCTTTATTGCACTTCATGGTTACTGTATTTTTTTTTGTGAATTGAAGATTTGTGGCAACCCTGTGTCTAGAAAGTCTAACAGTGGCGTTTTCCCAACAGCATCTGCTCACTTCTTGTCTCTGCTCACTTGTCTCTATGTCACACTTTGATAATACTTCAAACTTCTTTTTCCCTTGAGACAGAGTCTAGCTCTGTTGCCAGGCTGGTGTGTAGTGGTGCAATCTTGGCTCACTGCAACATAAACTTCCCCGGTTCAAACTATTGTCTTGCCTCAACCCCCTGACTAGCTGGGATTATAGGCACGTACCACCACACCCAGCTAATTTTGTATTTTTAGTAGAGATACGGTTTCACTATGTTGGCCAGAATGGTCTCGACCTTCTGACCTCATGATCTGCCCACCTTGGCCTCCCAAAGTGCTGGGATTACAGGCATGAGCCACCGCACCTGGCCTGAACCTTTTTTATTATTTATTATATCTGCTATGGTCATCTGTGATCAGTGGCCTTTGCTGTTACTATTGCTAAGTGTTTGTGGGCACCATGAATCATGTCGATATGAGACTGTGAACTTAGTGAATGTTGTGTGTGCTCTAACTGCTCTACTGACCAGCCATTACCTTGTCTCTCTCCCTCTCCTCCAGCCTCCTTATTCCTTGAGACACAATAATTAATAATTCTACAATAGCCTCTATGTGTTCAAGTGAAAGAAGGAGTCATACTTCTAAAAATTAAGCTTAGTGAGGAAGGCCTGTCAAAAGCTGAGACAGGCTGAAAGCTAGGCCTCTTGCCCCAGTTAGCCAATCTGTGGATTCAAAGGAAAAGCTCTTGAAGAAAATTTAAAAATTCTACTCTGGTGAATACACAAATGATAAGAAAGCAAAACAGCCTTATTGCTGATATGGAGACAGTGTTAGTGATCTGGATAGAAGACCACATTAGCCACAACACTTCCTTAAGCCAACGCACGTTCCAGAGCAAGGCCCTAACTCTCTTCAATTCTGTGAGGGCTGAGAGAGGTGTGGAAGCTGCAGGAAGCTGGCAGACGCTGGTTCATAAGGTTTAAGGAAAGAAGCTGGCTCCAAACCCTGCAAGTGGAAAGTGAGGCAGTGAGTTGCTGATGTGGAAGCTGAGACCGGTTATCCAGAAGGTGTGGCTAAAATCATTGATGAAGCTTCCACACCTCTCTCAGCCCTCACAGAATTGAAGAGAGTTAGGGCCTTGCTCTGGAACGTGCGTTGGCTTAAGGAAGTGTTGTGGCTAATGTGATCTTCTATCCAGATCACTAACAGTCTCCATATCAGCAATAAGGCTGTTTTGCTTTCTTATCATTTGTGTATTCACTAGAGTAGAATTTTTACTAGACAACAGACTTTCAGTGTAATTGAAACTGCCTTCTATTGGAAGATGCCATCTAGAACGTTCCTAGATAGAGAGGAGAATTGAATGACTGGCTTCAAAGCATCAAAGGACAGGATGACTCTCTTGTCAAGAGCTAATATAGCTGGTAACTTTCAGTTAAAGCCAATGCTCATTAACCATGTCAAAAATCCCAGGACTCTGAAGTTGATGCTAAATCTGCTCTGCCTGAGCTCTACAAATGCAACAGCAAAGCCTCGATGATGGCACATCTGTTTACAGCATGGTTTACTGTATATTTTAAGCCCACTGTTGAGATCTACTGCTTGGGGGAGAAAAAGATTCCTTTCAAAATATTACTGCTCATTGAAAATATACCAGGTTACCCAAGAGCTCTGTGGGAGATATGCAGAGATTAGCATTGTTTTCATGCTCGCTAACAAATATCCATGCTGCAGCCAAGGATCAAGGAGCCATTCTGACGTTCAAATCTTAACTATTTCAAAAATACACTTCAGGCTGGGGGAGGGGAGAACAAAATGAAAGAAAGAAAGAAAAACACATTTCATAAGGCCATAGCTCCCATGGATAGTGATTCCTCTGATAGATCTGGGCAAAGTTAATAGAAAACCTTCTGGAAATGATTCAGCTTTCTTGATGCCACTAAGAACATTCAGGATCTCTGGAAGGAGATCAAGGTATCAACATTAACACGAGTTAAAAAAAATTGATTCCAACTCTCATGGATGACTTTGAGGAGTTTGAGACTTCAGTGAAGGAAGTCGTGCAGATGTGATAGCTAGAAAATTAGAAGTGGAGCCTGAAGATGGAACTGAATTGCCATAATCTCATGATCAAGCTTGAATGAATAGGATTTGCTTCTTATAAATGAGCAAAGAAAGGGGTTTCCTGAGATGGAATCTACTCTTGTTGCAGAAGCTGTGAACATTGTTGAAATGACAAACGACTTAGAATGTTACATAAACATAGCAGGGTTTGAGAGGATTGACTCCTACTTTAAAATGAGTTTGGCTGCCTCATGCCTGTAATCCCAGCACTTTGGAAGGCTGAGGCAGGCAGATCACCTGAGGTCGGGAGTTCGAGACCAGTCTGGCCAACATGGTGAAACCCCATCTCTACTGATAATACAAAAATATTAGCCAGGTGTGGTGGCACATGCCTGTAGTTCCAGCTACTCAGGAGGCTGAGGCAGGAGGATCATTTGAACCTGGGAGGCAAAAGTTGCAGTGAGCCGAGATTGCACCAGTGCACTCCAGCCTGGGCAACAGAGCAAGACTTTATCTCAAAAAAAGGAAAAAAAAGAAAAAGAAAAAAAATGAGTTCTACTGTGAGTAAAATGCTGTCAAACAGCATCCCATGCTACAGAGAGCTTTTTCATGAAAGGGAGGGTCAATCAATGCAGCAAAGTTAATTGGTGTTTTATTTTAAGAAATTGCCCCAGCCACCCAAACCCTCAGTACCCACCACACTGATCGGGCAGCAGCCATCATCAAGGCAAGGAACTCCACCAGCAAAACGATCATGAATTGCTGAAAGCTCAAATGATCATCGGCTTTTCTTTCTGGCAATAAAGCATTTTTAGTGAAGGTATGTACATCTTTTAGACATAATTCTATTACTTAATACACTACATACAGTGTGAGCACAACTTTTGCATGTACCAGAAAACCAAAAAAATGTGTGTGACTCATCTGTTATATTTGTTTTATTGCGATGATCTGGAGCCACGGCCAAAGTGTGTGCCTGTAATGTGTAAGTGCCAGTAGAAATTAGTTGTGCAGGCTTGCTATTTTTTCCATTTTTATATTTGAGTTAATGGTAATATGCTAAGTATCCAGTCTATAAACTTCAGCATTCCTTAGAAATCCAGAAGAAACTTTTCTGGTTTTTTGTTTTGTTTTGTTTTGAGACGGAGTCTCGCTCTGTCACTCAGGCTGTGGTGCAATCTCGGCTCACTGCAACCTCTGCCTCCCGGGTTCAAGTAATTCCTCCACCTCAGCTTCCCGAGCAGCTGGGACTAAAGGCACTGGCCACCACGCCTGGCTCATTTTTTTGGTGTATTTTAGTAGAGATGGGGTTTCATCATATTGGGCAGGATGGTCTTGATCTCCTGACCTCGTGATCCACCCGCCTCAGCTTCCCAAAGTTCTGGAATTACAGGCATGAACCACCTTGCCCAGCCCAGAGGAGACTTTTAAATGCTGTTTCATAGATGAAATGAAAGAGAAAAGAGGGCTTCATGGTAAAGATGACATTATGAATATATCAAGGAGCTGAATGGTCCTCTGTCCACAAACAGACAATAATCCACACAGCATCACTACCGTGGCTCATGCATTAGCTCTGCACTGACCACATGGAGCAGGGAGCCTCCTCCTGATACCCCACATACCTGAGGAGCTAATGTTTCTTCCCAACATGGAAAATTTGGAAGAGGCATATTCTTCACAGCTGTTACTTCTCATTTTGAAAGAATGTGCCTGCCCTTATTCCCAGGCAAGGTGTGAGGAGGTCTTTGGGTTCCAGCTGTTGCCAGCAGAGATGGTGAAAGTCAGTAACAGGGCGGTGGACACTCAGAGAAATGTGACTCACAGCTCTGGTTTGCAAATTCAGTCTTTCAAGAAATCCTGCAGTGTCCTAAATGCCCAAATCCCCTGCCTCCCATGATCCTTCTCTGCAAAGGACCTTCTACTGGACGCTGTCCCACCCTCCCCAGCCCCTTCAGGGCCCTCCCCTCTGTCCTCTTAGGCCAGAGCAGCCAGTAAGGCATGTTTTTATTCCACGATCTGTACTCCAAGGAATCCATAATCATAGTTTCAAATGTATTTACTGAAAATACTAACATTATCTGGAATAAATAAATAATAAATATTATATGCTTAGACATTTTCATTCCTAAGTAAACCCCACTAAGCCGATTTTACTCCATATTCGGTGTTCTAGAAAACACATCATTTCTAAATTTTTCAGCATTCTTTCTGTAATTGTACTTTACTAAAATTGTTTGCATTGGAGTAAACACTCTTCTTTCCAGATTCTGTAGTAAAAATGTGATTTATCAGCGTTTGTACCTAACTTTTAGCAAGCTTTCTTCTCCCACTGTGAATGTTCCATTGTGTTTTATTCCTGAGTCCAACTTTTCTAGGTCAGCTTTGTCCAGATGTAAATTTTGGCAAGAATACTCTGTTCTCCCATCAAACTTTAGTTATTTGTAAAATTTACAAAGTACAATTTAAACTACTGTGATTTTAGTCAGTTTTAGGGTTGGTTATTTCTAGCAAGTCTAATGTTTCCCTTTTACAAGTCTTTAGCATTTCTAATTAGATGTGTGTGTGTTTTTAATCTATAACATATTGCTGTGTGGGTTTAGCCACTCTGAGTTTTGTTTTGTTTTGTTTTGTTTGAGATGGAGTCTTTCTCTGTCACCCGGGCTGGAGTGCATCAGTGTGATTCTGACCATCTGCATCTGCATGCTCTCTCATTTATAAAATGGGAATGATCATAATAATAGTGCCCCTTTCATAGGGTACCGTGAGGATTAAGTGGGCTAAGACCTGGAAGCACTTAGCTCTGTGCCTAGCACAGAGTATGTACCTAATAAATCATTCAAGTTCAAATTCCTGGCACCAAAGGCCATTCATGACTGCCCTCTCCCCCACCCCCCATGCCTCTCTACACTTATCTCCCATCAGGCTGCGTCCACCTTCACATAGACGACTCCCCCACCTAGAATCCCCTCCCACTCTCCTCCATCTACCACCAGCCTCAGGCTTCACTCTAGCTAACGATGCCTGTTTCTCCTCTAAAATGCAACTCACTTTCATTCCATAGACAGCACCTTCCTGGGCTTCCTCTCCCTGCCTTAGTTGCCACTCTGCCCCTCCCCTACCCCATCTTGAGGGCTTTTGCAGTGTCTTTTTCAATGTCTACAGTCTAATCAGTGACCAACAGAGTCAGCTGAATAACTGAGCATGCTCAAACGTCCCTTCTCTACCGAAACATCTTCGTGTCCCACCAACGCCCCTGCCTTCTTCTCTTCTTCCCAGTCACTTCCTGAGGATTGTCCCCATCACTCCCAAGTGAAACACTTCGTTCTACACCCTCAGACTGTTACTATGTCCCAAAAAACAGTGGAAGAAAAAACACCCACTGAAACCTGCAAATCCATGAAAAAAAAAAAAAAAAGGAAATGTTCACACTCAACAATTGCCCTGTTTAAAATCCTTTTGTCGCATCTTACCCTTGTTATAAGATCTCAAAGCCTCACTGTGGCTGTATGAATCCTCCATGCCCTGGCCTCTGCCCATCCCTCCAGGCTTATTTCATGTCCCTTGACCCCTTGCTCCCAGCAATTTGGCCACATAAGGCTTCTCCAGTCCTCAGATACATGAAGCTCCCTACTACCTGTTGGTGTTTGCCCACATTTTCCCTGCTTATTGAAACCCTTCCTGGTCTCCACACTTCTATTGGCTAAATGATGCTTATTCTTAAACATGACTCAGGCGGCTGAGTGCAGTGGCTCACACCTGTAATTCCCAGCACTTTGGGAAGCCGAAGCAGGTGAATCACCTGAGCTCAGGAGTTTGAGACCAGCCTGACCAACATGGTGAAACCCCATCTCTACTAAAAATGCAATTCTCACATCTGATAGAATAGATTTCAAAGCAACAAAGATATAGTGGTAAAAGGATCAATGCAACAATAAGAGCTAATGATCCTAACACCCAGATACATAAGACCCATAAAGAGACTTAGACTCAACAAGACAGAAAATTGATGAGGACAACCAGGACTTGAACTCAGATCTGGAACAAATAAACTTGATAGATATTTATAGAGCTCTCCATTTTAAATACACAAAATATACATTCTCCACTTTAAATACACAAAATATTGATCGGCCATTATTAATACCCACATTTAGAATAAAGCAACATTCCCATTCTCTCTCCCTCTTTTTTTCCTCCTTCTTCCTCTCCTTCACTCCTGTTTTTTCTTTCTTTTCTCCTAAAAATAAAAATAAAAAAAGAAAAAGAAAAATCAGAACAACAGGGAGATTAAGTGTAGGTTCTAATAAACACCTTTATTGATATATACTTCATATATCATAAAATTCACCCATTTAAAGTGTAAAAAGTAGGCCAGCCATCGTGGCTCACACCTACAATCCCAGCACTTTGGGAGGCTGAGGCAGGTGGATTACCTGAGGTCAGGAGTTTGAGATCAGCGTGGCCAACACGGTGAAACCTTGTCTCTACAAAAAACAAAACAAAACAAATAACAAAAAATAGCCAGGCATGGTGGTGGGTGCCTGGTAATCCCAGCCACTCATGAGGCAGAGATAGGAGAATCACTTGAACCCAGGAGGCAGATTTTACAGTGAGCCAAGGTCACACCATTTTACTCCAGCCAGGGCAACAAAAGAGAAAATCCATCTCAAATAAATAAAGTGTAAAAATAAATTGATAATGTTTTTGTTTCCTGCTTAAAATTACAAACTCTTTTGTAGACTATCAACCTTTGATAGTCCTCAATAATTTGATCTTAATCAAATTATTGAGAAAATGATAATACCTTGTAATTCTTACACTAACATTTGTAAGATTCCATTCTACTTTAATAATTTCCATTGCTCAACTTCTTCATTTCAGCAACTGTGATTATTTTAATTTAAAAAATAAAATAAAAATAAAAATGCAAAAATTAGCCGGGTGTGGTGGCGGGCGCCTGCAGTCCCAGCTACTTGGGAAGCTGAGGCAGGAGAATTGCTTGAAGCAGGAAGGTGGAGGTTGCAGTGAGCTGAGATCATGCCATTGCACTCCAGCCTGGGCAACAGAGCAAGACCATCTCAAAAAAAGAAAATAAAAAAGAAAAAAAGAGGGAAAGATAGAAAAGGAAGGAAGGAAGGAGAATGAACGAGAGAGAGAAGAAAGAAGGAAGGAACGAAGTAAGGAATGAAGAAGGAAAGGGGGAGGGAAAAGAGAGAGAGAAAGACAAAAGAAGGGAAGGAGGGAGGGAGGGAGGCATCTGAAGCTTAGGAATGTGGGCTAAAATAAATTCATTCACAGGTTTGGTGGTTAGAAGCTGAAGGTGTTTCCAACTTATGGCTTCCAAGCTATTGATACGGAAGTGGTGAGGCCTCAGGTTTAAGAAGTGTGATGGGTCTGAAATAACAAAATATGATGATTTTAAAAAATAAAACGAAATGGATGAAAGAAACAGGACAGCTGGGCAGTAATCAGGTTGCTATACAAAGTAAATGAGACAATGTATGGAAAGAGCATGGCACTTTATAAACACTCATTTCCTTCTCCCTCCTACTGCCACCTTAAATGGAAGAAATTGTCTCGCTGATATTTGCATCATCTATCATTGCACATACTTCATATTCCTTTTTTGTTGAACTGGTTCTAAATCTTCACACATATAGGTCAGATACATTTTTAGAGTTGGACTGAATCACTTCCTTTCTGCAGAACTTTGCTGTTATTGCTGGTACAGCAAGAAAAATGGTAGCTCTTGCTACTGGACTAACTAAACCTCAGAGAACCTGAATCCTCCAGCCGGGAAAAAGTGTGATGAACTTTGCATGTCATTCTGTCTGTCTCCAAGTCTTGATATCCCTACCTATTAAACTGGGATATGACACTCACCAAACCTACAAAACAATCACCAACATGATGAACAGAGCTTTTTAAACAGCAGAGCATACAATCTCAAAGGCTGCACAAATTGATGAAACGCTTTGGAGAAGCAATTTTTCACAGTATCAAGAACCATAAAAATGGTCAAACCTATTGACCTCGGCAGCTCGTTTCCAGAAATATATTCTATCCGTTTTCTATCAGTCCACCCAACATATGCCCATGGATGGCACATTTCTAAACTTTGGACTAACGCCTGTATGAGCTAGGATTCGAGTCACATGCAGTCCCTGTTTTGTTGCCAGTCAACAAGATACAGCCCAGTGAAGGAAGTTATTCTAGGAATCATCTGAATTAAGTAAATGATTCACCAAATACAGTATTTCACTTATTAATAAAGTGGTTGCGAGCTCCACAGCCCACCAAGACAAGCAGTGAAGACTTGGCATTCAAGTTGAGAACTGCCATCCTTACAAAATAACTCAGAGGAATGAAGAATTGCATATACCTCCGAATTAGGCTGATAGGCAGTAATGACAGTCACAATGTCAGCTCTTTCCTATCCATTCTCTCACTGCCTCCTCATGAAAATCCTGTGAGGTAGACAAAAGGGATTTACACCTTCTGTGCTCCAGGTAGAACCATGGGGTTATGTTCACCTGAAATAAGTTGACAGCCAACAGGCATGATGGATAGAGCACTGTTATCTTTTTCTTTATTTCTTCTAAAAAAATGGGATACTTGGTGGAACAGGCATGTTTGTTGCATAGGTATACATGTGCCATGGCAGTTTCCTGCACCTGTTGGCCTGTCCCCTAAGTTCCGTCCCCCAACCCCCCAACCCCCAACAGGCCCTAATGTGTACTGTTCCCCTATCTTTGTCCATATGTTCTCAGTGTTCAACTCCAACTTATGAGTAAGAACATGTGAGATGTGGTTTTCTGTTCCTGTATTAGTTTGCTGAGGATGATGGTTTCCAGCTTTATCCATGTCACCACAAAGGACATGACCTCATTCCTTTATATGGCTGCATAATATTCCATGGTGTATATGTACCACATGTTCTTTATCCAGCCTATCATTGATGGGCATTTGGGTTGGTTCCAAGTCTTTGCTATTGTAAACAGTGCTGCAATAAATATATGTATGCATGCTTCTTTATAGTAGAATGATTTATATTTCTTTGGGTGTATACTCAGTAATGAGATTGCTGGGTCAAATGGTATTTCTGGTTCTAGATCCTTAAGGAATCGCCATACTGTCTTCCACAATGGTTGAACTAATTTACATTCCCACCAACAGTGTAAAAGTGTCCCTATTTTTCCACAGCCTCTCCAGCATCTATTGCTTCCTGACTTTTTAATCATTGCCATTCTGACTGGTGTGAGATGGTATCTCACTGTAGCTTTGATATGCAAATTAGATGATGTTGAGCTTTTTTTCATATGTTTGTTGGCCACATAACTGTCTTCTTTTGAGAAGTGTCTGTTCATATCTTCTTTGCCCACTTTTTGATGGGGTTGTTTTCTTGTAAACACGTTTAAGTTACTTGTAGATTCTGGATATTTGACATGTGTTAAATGGGTAGATTGCAAAAATTTTCTCCCATTCTGTAGGTTGCCTATTCACTCTGATGGTAGTTTCTTTTGCTGTGCAGGAGCTGATAGGGCACTCTCTGAGGGGTTTTGTGGCCTGAACCACTGACATCATGTGGCTGTGAATCTGTGAGCACATACTTCAACCCCTTGAGTCTCCTTTTACTCAAACTGCTTCCGGAGCTGCTGAGTGGTTCAAATTGGCTCCCTGATGTGAATGCACCCTGAGATGTAAACCCGTACAAAGGTGACATGTCTTCCGGCTTGCTGGCTCTGCTCCTGAGCCAGAGCCAATGATAGTGCTTCAGGCCCCAAAACTGGCCTCCCCTTTACCCACCCCTGTTAGCAACCCTCTAGGGGTCCTACTCAGTCTGCACATTGGCACACCTAAGGCAAGGATAAAGCGTGGCCATAACAAGCAAAATAAATATTTATTAGAAATCAAAACACCATTTCTTCAATGGCACAAAAATGTTCTTACTCTTTTTATGATTTCTTTCTTGAACACAGAGTTTCACACACACACAACACTAAGAACAAGTTATTGAATTAGAATTTACAAGGATCCAGCACATTCAAGGGGAATGGGGTGACAATTCTGTGTGAGGAAGCAAGATCACAGTAAAAAGTATGTAAATCAGTGCAGAAGTCAAGTACAGTTTACAGGCCCAGATGATGGCCCATCTACCCGGGCCCTGCCCAGAGCAAAAGGACACAAGTCACCAGGCCTTGAGGAAGGAAAGGAATGTCAGTAACACTGGGCTCTCTCAGGCAGGAGCCTTCTGGGAGCTGAATGACTTCACAGTACAACCTCCGGCAGCTTCTCCCATGTCCCCGGAAGGAAGGCTAAGCACCCTGAATTCCAAACAGATATATCACATAATGTCTAGAATAAGGAAATTTTCCTGAGGAAATGTTTAGCTAACAGGGCATTTGCAGCCAAAGGCACTATCTGAGCCTGGGAAATCCCATCCCTGGAAAACGCCTTCCCCTGAAATTAATGAAATGTCAATCACGGAGTTTTTCAGATGTCCTGATGGACCCATGGTTCAATGGGTATATCTGCGGGTGTGTGGGGGGAGGAGTGTAGGTGTATGGGTGTTAATGCATGGGTGTGTTTGGGCACACAGGGGTGTGTGTGGGTGGCTGTATGAGTGTGGGCATGTGTGGAAGTGGGTGGGGGTGAGGTGATGGTTGTGTGTGTTTGGGTGTGTGGTGTGTGTTTTCTGCACCCCTGTGGGCACACTGGAATTTTCAACCAGTCATGGGGAGTATAGGGACAATGTGGACTGCCAAATGAGACATCCGAGAAAATAGTCCTGCCTCCCAGCATATGCTAACCACAAAGAAGGACTCAATATTATGGAATAATGGTGCTTTTTAAAAATAAATAAACAATGGCTCAGAGAGGCATCTGTGGTCCGAGAATCAGGACACTCCAGCTTCCACAGTGCTGACAGGACTTCCTGCCCGACTCTGCACAGGTACACATTCCTCTCGGAGTGTGAGTCTCCGGGAGGGAAGTGAAGGAAGTAGTCCTTCTGATGCTGATGCTTCTTGACTCATTGCTTCCTTTTGCCTTGGTGAACCTTCCTAGGCTCAGACCTTTCGGATGAAAGCCTTTTGGGGTGGACACTGTTGGGAAGAGTCTCCAGTATAGAAAATGGTCTTGTGGCTGGGCACGTGGATCACACCTGTAATCCCAGCACTTTGGGAGGCTGAGGTGAATAGATTATGTGAGGTCAGGAGTTCAGGACAAGCCTAGCCAACCTGCTGAAACCCCGTCCCTACTAAAAAACATAAAAATTAGCCAGAGGCACCTGTTATCCCAGCCAATCAGGGGACTGACACAGGAGAATTGCTTGAACCCAGGAGGTGGAGGTTACAGTGAGCTGAGAATGCACCACTGCCCTCCAGCCTGGGTGACAAGAGTGAAACTCCATTAAAAAAAAAAAGGAAGGAAGGAAGGAAGAAAGAAGGAAGGAAGGAAGGAGGGAGGGAGGGAGGGAAAAAGGGAAGGAGGGAAGGAGGAAAGGAGGGAGGGAGGAAGGGAAGGAAGAAGGGAAGGAAGCAGGGAAGGAAGAGAGAAAAGAGAAAAGAAAAGAAAAGGGTCTTGCCAACTAATTCTATCCAGACCCACAGAGAGCAGTGCTCCATAATGTGAGATGACAAAGGCTCTCCATTTCTCACTTGGACAAAAGCTGGAAGGTTAGGCAAATAGAAATCAATCAATCTATCATGGCTTTATCCATTAATGTCTGAGTCAAAGCAATTCTGGATATGGCTTTATCCATAACAGATAACCTTATCCATTAGTGGGTATGGCTTTATCCATTAACATCTGAGTAAAGCAGTTCTGGAATTCCTAGCTCTGTGGTATAGAACCTGGCACCATGGATCCAAACCACTTCCTTTCAAACAAGAGTTCTGTTCAGGCTTAACACAGGTAGCTGACTCCACATGTGGAATTCTGATCGGTAGACTCTCCAGGCTAAGGGACCTTAAACTTCATCCAATTACCATTTTCAACAACATGCCTCATAAGTGCTCAACCAGCTTTCGCTTAAACATCTTCAACATCTGGGCCGGTTGCTCGATTGGATTGAGTTGAAGTCTTCCTCAGTTGACTAGTTCTGCTCATTCTAGAATGCAACTACTCCTTCTGCCCCAGGACAGGGCCCCTCCAATCTTCTCTTCTCCAGGGGCCCATGCCCAGCCCTGTTCCCCCTCAGAGCCTGGTCTGACCACTGAGGCTAAGAGTACACAGTTCCTCCCTAGGTCAGCTAGGAGGGCAGGGGCTGCTGGGGTTGTGACGCCTCTCACACCCCAGACCACCTCTCCCCAACCGGCCCCATCAGGGGCACAGAGTCTGAGTCTCCACCTGCTCAGCCAGTCTGGCACACAGAGTGGCCCAGAGTAGAGAAACTGGTCCCAAGTGCACTGCCAGGCCTGGACTCCTCAATCTGCCTCAAACCAGATTAACTCATCAATTACCATGTCATCCAAAGGCCAAATGTCTATTTCTGCCATTTAAGATTAAAACTTATGTTACTATTTTTGTAATTTTTAAATAAATCCTTTCACCAGCTAATGGGGGCAGAGGAGATTTTCTAACGGTTTAGGCCCAAGTTACCCGGAAAATCCTTCGGTCTCTACTTCCCCTCTGCCCCCAGACTGACTCCGTGTCATTTCCAAGGGAGGACATCAGAGGATGAGGACCTAAAAATAAGCCCAAAGTCTTGGCAAATGTTTCTCTCTCACAAGCTTCCCCTTCAGCTTCAAAATTCACAGTTAAAAAAAATACTTCATACCAAAGCAGTTCAGGCATTTTGTGAAATTCCCCCACTGAGACGCACTGAGGTATGCTGACTGCTGAGCTCTAACACGGTAGAGACAGAGCAGCTGCTATTTCCGCTTTTGCGGAAGCCAGGATCCCAGTGCAGAGGCCGTCGCTTCTGCAAGGCCGGGACAAGGAAAAGAGCCAGGCCCTTTCACCCAGATCGCGGCGGCCCAGCAGGACCTGCCCCGCACGTCTCATGCAGACTTTTGTGTGTGTGAAGAAAAGCTTTTTGTCTTGCTCTGCCAACCCTAAGGCCAAATATATAATACTTACATCCAGCCCCAAAGCCCCTAATCTGTCTCCACTTTCAAAATCAATACTTCATTATTATAATGTTCATTCTTAACTGAAATGTCTTTTCCATGCTGAAAATAAAAACCCTGCTAAAACCATCTCTCCCTTTGAGACAGTTCGATCCTTGGGGTTTCAGGGGATGCTCACTCCAAGAATGGTTTCCTTTTCCCTAAAGAGTTCCCAAAGGTCATTTCCAAAGCTCACTCCCCTCCTCTCCCAGGATATCCGGCTTACCTCCATCCCTCGAACATTCTGGGATGGGATCAAGGGTGTCCCACAAATTCAGGCAACCCCATGAGATGGTAGAATGTGTGGACTGGGGCCAGGGCTGACAAGGGGAAACTGGCAGGAGGAAAGCCCACTCCTCAAGGCCCGTTCCCCGCCACCCACCTCTCCCAGCCAAGCCAACCTGCAATTGGTAAAACCAGAGGCTTCACCCAGGACTTTAGGTGTGTCTGAGGCTCCAGACTGTGGCTATGGGTTTACACAAGCTCTTTGCCAAACAAGAAAATCTAGGATGTTTCCCACTCAGACAAACTGCCAACTGCCCCTCAGTCCAGACACTCACTCAGCCTGAGGGTGTGTTCTGCGTCTAGGCCAGCAAAGCCAGGCTCCACCACTCCTCAAAGCCCTCAGCACAGTCCAGGACTCCGCCTGCAGCACCAGACAACCCACGTGCACACCAGCTCTGGGTTGCACTTCTACACCCACGTTTCTGGGAATTCCTCTATTTCTTCAAATGCATTGAGAGTGGTTCTGCTACTGTTCCTGGAAGACTCTTGGATTTTGTTGAAATCTGCTTTTGAAAAAAGATGTATTTTAGAGGCCAGATGTGGTGGCTCAGGCCTGTAATCCCTGCACTTTGGGAGACCAAGGTGGGCAGATCACCTGAGGTCGAGCTCAAGACCAGCCTGAACAACGTGGTGAAACCTCATCTCTACTAAAATACAAAGAAAAATTAGCTAGAGGTGGCGGTGCAAACCTGTAGCCCAGCTACTCAAGGACGCTGAGGCAGGAGAATCCCTTGAACCCAGGAGGCGGAGGTTGCAGTGAGCCAAGACTGCACCACTGCACTTCAGCCAGGGTGACAGACAGACTCCATCTTAAAAAACAACACCATATGTGTGTGTGTATGTGTGTATACACAAACACACACACACACACGCATGTATGTTTTAGAAATACATCATTCTGCCTGACGTGTTTCTATGGCCTAAGGCTATACCGTTTTAAAAGTTGTTCCAACTCGGGTTCTAAAAGTCAGAGCTGGAAGAGACCTAAGAAGCACCTCCATTCAACCCTTCCATTTGACAGATGGGGAAATCAGGTGCCTTAGACTTAATCTGCCCCAGGTCACATGGTCTCAGACAGGAGCAGACACCATGTTACCTCGCAGCAACAGTACGTGTTCACCTCCCAGGCCCCGGGTCTTTGTTAAAAAAGGAGACGTGTGTTTTCCATTCAGTCCACTTCACCTCATTGATCCTGCAAGTGTGGCCATCGCTCTTACTATTTCGCCATTGCCTCACTGGATGCAAACAAACAGCCCTGCACTTGGGGCATCCCAGTGTCTACACAGCTCCCCTTCTGTCTGTCCTAGAGATCAGGAGAACCCCTGCCCCGAGTGGTCACACCAGCATTGTTAGAGTTTCAACTCTATCCCCATCTCCATTTCGCTGGGCCTCAAAGACTCAGTTCTCCTTCCACTGTATGGAACTCAGAAATCCTGCAAGTTTCTTGGATGGGTGTAAAGGGTACAACTTCAGACTGTGCAGCTGTACCTGACAGGTGACAGCCCATGAGAAAGCGGGGACAGACAGAGGGAGGGCCCAGGCCATGAGGGCATGAAGATTAAACTCCAAGTGTCACAAGGGTTGAGGAGGTACTAGGAGCTTGTGATTAGGGCCCATGACCAATGAGAGAGGGTGGCATCTGAGGTGTTAGAATGGAATGGCAGACACTGATTTGACCTAAATTCACATTCAGAGAACATCTCTAGAGAGAGCGTGACAACATCAGAAATACTTGCTAGGGTAACGACCGCAGTCAGAAATGCTGCTGTCCAGAGGCTGGGATTTCAGCAGAGAAGTGGGTTAAGGTTTGGTCATACTCAAAAAAGGTGGTCCGTAGGCTTGGGAAGCTGGGTCAGGGAAGGAGGATGTGGGCTTATCAGAAAAGGTGGTCATGGGGCCGGGTGCAGTGGCTCACATGTGTAATCCCGGTACTTTGGGAGGCTGACGGAGGTGGATCACTTGAGGCCAGGAGTTCTAGACCAGCCTGGCCAACATGATGAAACCCTCATCTCTACTAAAAATACAAAAATTAGCCAGACGTGGTGGCACGTGCCTGTAATCCCAGCCACTTGGGTGGCTGAGGCAGGAGAATCACTTGAACCTGGTAGACTGCAGTGAGCAGAGGTCACGCCACGGCACTCCAGCCTGGGAGATAGAGTGAAAGTTCGTTTAAAAGAAAAATACAGAAAAGGTGGTCATGAGACATGTAAGGACTTTTTTTAAAAATCAAAAAAGATCTGTCAAAGCAGCCTTGTTGCCTTCTGTCTGCCAGGGGCAAACGTGCCTCACATCCTCCGGGATCACAGGAACTCACACAGGGTACACAGCAGGAAAAGGATTGCCAAGCAGGCAGATCTCCCCTACACCAGACAGTGAATGGACAGAGACCCTGGAGGCACCTCCAGAAAAGCAGAGATGGGACCCACTGCTGCCAGTCTCCTTCCCTTCCCTTCTGGAGCTCGAGAACCCCCATTCCAGGCCCTGCAACCCCATAAACAAATTCCTTCCTCCAAGAGGCCCCAGGACAGAAGGTAGCTGTGGTTATGGTGAGCAAGCTGACCTGCCCCACTCTACCCACCCCAAACTCACCATCCCAGGGCCCTCTGTTACCACAAACACAGTCAGAAATCTTCCTTGGCCACTTTACACATCTCCCCCATCTGGAATCTGCTCCTCAGCCATTCTGGTAACATTTTCTCAAACTCCAAGATGGTCCTGGCTCTCTGGAACATGAGCAAGCCTATGGAGTATGCAGGCACACTCACAACTGCTCACAAGAGCACACACACAGCCAGGGCACACACTCACAACCACACAAAACAGCACACACACCACCAGGGCACACCCTCTACAGAGTATTCATGCACACTCACAACCACACACAAGAGCACACACGCCACCAGGGTGCACACTTCACCCTTGCCCCATGCTTGATGCATAGATCCCAAAGGTTTGGCTGATCTACAGATTCAAAGACAAAAAAGTAGGCCAGGCAGGTAGTTCACACCCATAATCCAAGCACTTTGGGAGGCTGAGGTGGGCAGATCACCTGAGGTCAGGAGTTAGAGACCAGCCTGGCCAGCATGGCAAAACCCTGTCTCTACTAAAAACACAAAAATTAGCCAGGCATGGTGTTGGGCACCTGTAATCCCAACTACTTGGGAGGCTGAGGCATCACTTGAACCCTGTGAGGCAGGGGCAGAGGTTGCAGTGAGCTGAGGTTGTGCCATTGCACTGCAGCCTGGGCACCAGATATAAATATTTCCAAAAGCAGGAGCTTCCTATCAGAAAGTGCTGGATCCTGGAATCCCACAGTAGGGGACGGTTCAAACACCATTTAGTCCCACCCTCTTCCAAGCTTGGAATCCCCTCTGCATTGTCCTAGTCACTATACTCCTCATTTTCCCAGTATCTCTTCAACAATATCAACAATCCAATTAAGAGGGCCTTAATAGGCAGGCGAGGTGGCTCACGCCTGTAATCCCAGCACTTTGAGGCAGAGGTGGATGGATGACCTCAGCTGAGGAGTTCAAGACCAGTCTAGGAAACACGGTGAAACCCCGTCTCTATCAAAAATACGAAAATGAGCCAGGCGTCGTGGCACATGCCTGTAGTCCCAGCTACTTGGGAGGCTCAGGTGGGAGAATCGCTTGAGCCCGGGAGGCGGAGATTGCAGTGAGCCACCACTGCACTCTAGCCTGGGTGACAGGGCAAGACCCTGTCTCAAAGAAAAAAAAAAAAAAAAAGGAGGGCCTTAATAATGAGAAATGGGTTACATGAAAGCTTTTCTCCCTGTAATGCCCCATGTACACCTGCCTCCCGTGACCACAGAACGTGTCTGCTCCCTCTTTCACAGGCTTCTCTGCAGATATCTGAAGGAACTCTCCCTTTTTCAAACCTAGTTCCAACAACTGTTTTTTTTTTTTCCTTTTGAAACAGAGTTTTTGCTCTGTCACTCACGTTGGAGTGCAGTGGCATGATCTTGACTCATTGCAACCTCCACCCCTTGGGTTCAAGCAATTCTCCTGCCTCAGACTCTAGGGTAGTTGGGACTACAAGCCCACACTACCACACCTAGCTAGTTTTTGTATTTTTAATAGAGATGAGGTTTCACCATGTTGGCCAAGGTGGTCTCAAACTCTTGACCTCAGGTGATCCACCCACCTCAGCCTTCCAAAGTGCTGGTATTACAGGGGTGAGCCACCATACCTGGCCGCCAACAACCATTTCTTAAGACAGTCTCCGGTCTTCTCCCAAACCTGGTTACCACCTCTGAACCCATCCTATGTATTGGTTTCCTCAGCACGTAAAAAGTGTTAAGGCCAGGATGAAATAGAGCAGAAGTGTCACCTCCATTGTCCTTTGCACAGCCACACCTGCTAGACCTGACACTCAAAGAACATAGGCTAAAGCTTCATCAAACCTGAGTAAACACTGCAGAGCTTCTGCAGATTCTCAGGCCCCACCCCAGACCTGAGAACAAACCATAGAAGAGATTCACTGCTGGATGGATGGTTGGATGGATGGATGTATCTGCCCTGGCCTCCTGCAGAAAGTCCTCTGCCTAACAAAGCCTGGAGTCTTCTCTCCTTCCTCTAACCCCTCGTCTGCTCTTGATCACCTACAGCTTTGCAGAGCTGCTAATTATAATCCACATGTGTGTCCCTGGCTTCCCAGCTTGTCTTTGAGCTCCTGACTTCCTCTAGTCTGGGTCACCTCCCTCAAAGCTGTAAGATCCTGAGTCTCCTCCTAATGCTCTGTTATGAGCTCCCCATGAGCAGGACCAGGTTCACACTTCCTCTTCTTTCCAACACACCACAGTAGAGGTTCACTGCTGAATGGATGGATAGATGGATGGATGGATGGATGATTAGATGGATGGATAGATGGATGGATAGATGATGACTGAATGGATGGATGGATAGATGATTGGATGGATGATTAGATGGGTGGATAGATGGATGGATGGTTAGATGGATGGATGATTGGATGGATGGATGGATGGATGATTAAATGGGTGGATAAATGGATGGATGATTAGGTGGATAGATGATTGGGTGGATGGATGGATGAATGTATGAATGATGACTGAATGGATGGATGGATGACTGAATAGATGGTGGATGATTAGATGGGTGGATGGATGGATGGATGGATGATTAGATGGGTGGATAGATGGATGGATGATTGGATGGATGGATGGATGGATGATGATTGGATGGATGAATGGATGAATGGATGATTAGATGGGTGCTGATGGTAGTCAATGACCATGTGCTGAACTGGGGAGGCCCCCACACTGGGGTCTCTGCCTAGACTCACCTGCAGGTGCCAGATGTGCTCACTTTCCTTGGAGACCTTCTCCACAGTCTCTCCCATCAAGGCAATGAGCATGTTGAGAAGCAGAACGAAGGTGAGGATGACATAGGTGATGAGCAGGAACAGAAAGAGAATGGGATACTTGGAGTTCTGCTGGATGTTCAGGTCACCCAGGCCTATGGTGAGCTTGAAGAGCTCCAGAACTGCATCCCTGAAGCTGCCATAGGAGCTGCAGTCTTTGTTGTCTTTGGGACACTTCTCGATCAGCGAGGCCAGGGCTAGGGGAACATAACAGGGTGCTCTCCTCAGCTCTCTGCCTGGCCAATTATTCTACAAGCTTGCATGTATTTGCCCACACAACAAGCCTGCTGCCTCCTTCTCTCTGGCCATTAATCATCTCCAGCTTCAGGTCCTCCCAAAGTGTCATCAGGCTGGTGTATCTGCCCTGGCATCCTGCAGAAAGTCCTCTGCCTAACAAAGCCTGGAGTCTTTTCTCCTTCCTCTAACCCCTCGTCTGCTCTTGATCACCTGCAGCTTTGCAGAGCTGCTAATTATAATCCACGTGTGTGTCCCTGGCTTCCCAGCTTGTCTTTGAGCTCCTGACTTCCTCTAGTCTTGGTCACCTCCCTCAAAGCTGTAAGATCCTGAGTCTCCTCCTAATGCTCTGTTATGAGCTCCCCATGAGCAGGACCAGATTCACACTTCTCTTCTTTCCAACACACCACAGTAGAGGTTCACTGCTGAATGGATGGATAGATTGATGGATGGATGGATGATTAGATGGATGGATAATTAGATGGATGGATGGACAGATTAATGCATGATTATATAAATGGATGGATGGATGATTGGATGGATGGATAATTAGATGGATGAATGGATGATTATATGGATGGATGGATGGATGGATGGATGGATGATTAGATGGATGGATAATTAGATGGATGGATAGATGGATAAATGAATGGATGATTGGATGGATGGATGGATGGATGATTAGATGGATGGATGGATGGATGGATGAATGGATGATTGGATGGATGGATGGATGGATGATTAGATGGATGGATAGATGATTAGATGGATGGATGGATGGATTCTTGGAAAATTCTTAGAAAATGGCAAGCATGGGAAGTGCCCCACTGGTAGCTGATATAAGTGTTGCCGAGGCAACCATGCACTTTGTCATTTTGACATCTGTATAAAGTGTTTACGATGTGGGAGTTACTATTATTTACAAATCAATTACCTACCCCAAATCCAAGCAAAAAAACCGATATATACGAACAAGAACTTCAGAACGTCATGCAAAAGGACCTACAAGGAAAGAAACAGAATTGAAGTGTAAGGTGCAAGCACATATTCACCATACCCTGATCTTCCTGCTTCCCACCCTCTCCCAGCCCCCACCCTAATCGTCCCTTCACGTAGGCCATTCTCCCCTCCCCCAGCCAAATCTTCCTGATGCTCCAAGGCTCAGCTCTGGATCCCACCTCCTCCAGGAAGCCTTTTGTTCCTGCTCCAGCCCCAGGTTCTCTTCTCCCTGTGATCTGCCCTGTACTTTTCACCATAGGTTCTGACATCTGGAATCCTCATACTTCCTGGGGGCAGTGGCATGCTGGAGCCAGCTCACAACAGCTCACAAGAGCTGATAGTTACATTTTCCTGAAGCCTGTGAGCTGCTTGTTAAACACAGCCATTACTCGGAACTAAATCAAACTTTCAGTTAGAAGATGAGTAAGTTCTGGGGATTTAATGTACAGCACGATGACTACAGTCAGCAACACTGCGCTGTGTGCTGGAAATTCGCTAAGAGAATAGATCATAGATGTTCTCACTGCACACAAAGAAATAGCAACTATGTGCGGTGACAGGCGTGGTAACTAATTGAAATTGGAAATCATTTCACAATATATACCTATATCAAATCCTTGCATTGCAAAAAAAATTAAACCATATAAACTTACAATTAAATAAGTTATATTTTTTTAAAAAGACAGGCCAGGCACAGTGGCTCAATCCTTAAGACAGTGATTGAGAAAGTGTTAATCCACATCACATTTTTAAATCTGTTCTGTCTGCAGCCTTTACACTGTGTACAGCACACACATATCAATAAAATATTCTTCCAGTGTTTGCAAATTATCATCCAATTCAGCAAAGAAGTTGCTCACATCATTGATAAACAAGTAAAGTTCAACATAAATCTTAACTGTCTCACTTTGATCACTGCTTATAAAGAAGAATAGCAGCCAACATTCATGTCTGAACAGCACTCTTGTCAATTGCAACTAAAGGTTGATGACAAGAACTAGAATTCAATAAAAAACAACAAATAAGCCAGGTGCACTGGCTCACACCTGTAGTTCCAGCACTTTGGGAGGCCGAGGCAGGCAGATCACCTGAAGTTAGGAGTTCAAGGCCAGCCTGGACAACATGGTGAAACCCTGTTTCTACTAAACATACACAAATTAGCCAGGCGTGGTGGTACATGCCTGTAATTTCAGCTACTCGGGAGGCTGAGGAGGGAGAATCGCTTGAATATGGGAGGAGGAGGTTGCACTGAGCTGAGACTGGGCCACTGCACTCCAGCCTGGAGGACAGAGCAAGATTCAGTCTTAAAAAAAAAGCAATAAATTATTCTAAGACTCAACTGGCTACGTGGAATTTACAATAAACTGTATATTTTCATTATTTACAAATTGCATGATAGACCTCTTTTAATAGTAAAATGTATAAGTGTATGTGTATACATACACATACCTATATATGCATATTCCACCTACACACACCTATATATGCATATTCCACCTACACACACACACACACACACACACACACACACACACGAGTGGTTGTTAAATGTTTACCAGCACGCCACTGCCCAGGGGTGAGAACATTCCTTCACAAAGCGTCCCCTCCCCAGTGCCCCACAAGCCCAGGGGATTTAAGGTCTGGACGCCTGAAGCCTGACTGAAAGCAAATGGAGACCACGGCATTCGGGGAAAAGAGCAGTGGCCGCCCTTGGTCAGCCCCTCTGCCTCTGCAGATCCCAGTGTCCCCATCTGAAAAGTGGCCATCCTCTGAGGGCCCTCCCACTGGCATGGCTCCCAACGCACCTTCTGGATCATGATGCTGTACATGCCCATGGACTGGAATCCCCACGTGTAGTAGAGCATGTTCACCCAGCCCAGGGCCATGGCCAGCACAAGGCAGGCAAGGTACTCTTTGTAGGCAAACAAGTATAAGAAGTCAGACAGTATCACAAGCAGAGCTTGGATAAAACTGTTCAGGAGACACAGGAAACACCAGCCTTACTTACTACTCCTCAGCATCAGGGCAAAGACATGCAAATCCCCAAACCTCCCCTACACCCCCTGAACAGTCACCCGGGTCAAGGGTGCTGAAGAGATAGGTATCAGGCTGCCCCAGATCCATGCAGCCACTGTAGAATTCAGCCTGTAGAAGCATCACCAGAGGCCAGTCACAGCCCATGGTAGGCTTACTGCAGCTGATTGGGACTTAAAAAAAATACAAATCCACAGGGACACAGAAGGTTCTAGGGTACAGCCCAGGAGGCCGTATACTTTTTAAGTTACCCACATGGGCCGGGTGTAGTGGCTCACGCCTGTAATCCCAACACTTTGGAAGGCCGAGGTGGGAGGAGCGCTTCAGGTCGGCAGTTCAGGTTGGCCTGAGTGGCACAGCAAGACCTTGTCTCTACAAATAAAAAATATGTAGAAAAATAATCTAAGTCACCCACAGAATTTCTGATTCCCACACTGATTTGAGAATTTTTAGAGTAGACCAAAAATGTGGCAAATGACTGAATTTTTAACCAAAATGACAAAAACTGCCAATATCTATACTGATGAGCCAATCACAATAAGTCCCCCAAACCCTACTTTTTAAATCTTTCTGTGTGCATGGGAGATTGAGTCTCACTCTGTTGCCCAGGCTGGAGTGCAGTGGCATGATCTCTGCTCACTGCAACCTCTGCCTCCCAGATTCAAGCAATCCTCTTGCCTCAGTCTCCTGAGTAGCTGGAATTACAGGTGTGCAGCACCACGTCCAGCTAGTTTTTGTATTTTAGTAGAGACGGGGTTTCACCATGTTGGCCAGGCTAGTCTCAAACTTCTGACCTCAGGTGACCCACCTGCCTTAGCCTCCCAAAGTGCTGGGATTACAGGCATGAGCCACTGCTCCCAGCCTCAAATCTCTCTAAAGTGTGATATATGGTAAGTGAAATAAGCTAATCCTAAAAAAACAAGTACTATATGACTCAACATATAAGGTACCTAAAATAGTCCAATTCACAGGGAAAGAAGGAAGCATGGTGGTTATGGTGGGGGGGGCTCGAAGGGAAGCAGAGGAGTAGGGGCTGTTGATTAATAGGTGTGGAGTTTCAGTTTTGCAGGACGGAAAGAGTTCTCAACACTGACTGCCCAACAATGTACTTCACAGTATTGATTTGTACACTTAAACAATGGTTACGACGGTAACTTTATGTTATGTGTACTTCACCACAATTAATTTTTTTCTTTGAGACGGAGTCTCCCTCTATTGCCAAGGCTGGAGTGCAGTGGCATGATCTCAGCTCACTGCAACCTCTGCCTCCAGGGTTCAAGCAATTCTCCTGCCTCAGCCTCCCAAGTAGCCGTGCATGCCACCACACACAGCTTTTTTGGAGAGACACATATTTTTTGTAGAGAGACAAGGTTTTGCCAGACTGGTCTCAAACTCCTGACCTCAGGCTTCCCAAAGTGCTAGGATTACAGGTGTGAGCCATCGTGCCCAGCCCACAATTAAAATGTTTTTAAGTACGGTATATCCCAAACATACAAAATCAAAAGCTACTATACAGTCCATAATGCAGACGTCTAGATACAAACACTGTCTTACTTATAACATTAGGCAGTTTCCAAAGTTATAACATAGTTAACCAAAGTGATGACACAGGCAAAGTTGTAAGAAAAGCAGAGATCAATCGAAAGATCAATTTGATTGATTGTAAGATCAATCAAAAGGTTGATTGATCAACTGCTTTTCAGAATGAAATGAAGAATGTCAACACCTTCCTCTACACTAACAAAACAAGAAGCAGAAGAGGCCGAGCACGGGGGCCCATGCCTGTGATCCCAGCACTCTGGAAGGCCAAGGTGGGTGGATCACTTGAGGTCAGGAGTTTGAGGCCAGCCTGGTCAACATGGTAAAACCTCATCTCTTCCAAAAACACGAAAATTAGTCAGTGGTGGTAGCCGGCACCTGTAATCCCAGCTACTCAGGAGGCTGAGGCAGGAGAATTGCTGAGGCAGAGGCTGCAGTGAGCCAGGATTGTGTCACTGCACTCCAGCTTGGGCGACAGAGTCACACTCCGTCTCGAAAAAAAAGTGAAGAGCAAGATAATGCCTTGGCGCTTTTTGTCTGCACTAAAACCAGTGTCTGAGTAAGTGGATTTTGTCTGGAATCATAATAGTTCCTCCCACGTGGTTTGCATTGTGGGGCAGTACTGGCTGACCCATTTCCTGCAGGATCTGGGGGCTTCCCCTGCCCTCGGGGATGAAGAACTCAATTCATGCCTCTGGAAGGCGGGGAACCTACTTAATAGAACACCTAGGTATTTGGAAACACTCAAGGTCCTAGAGACCTAGCTTCCCAAATGCTCAGAAGAGAGACTTGAGTAGGGTCTAAAGCGCTTCCAAGCCCGATTTTCTTCATCCCAAGCTGCAGAATCTGTTCTGCTCCACAGCAGCAGCGCTAAATCAACTTCTGTTCATTCAGAGGCAGAGGTCACACACGCCGTGATGTTAGCTACATGTGAGCTCCTGCAGAGGCTGCTGAGCTGGGCTCTCTGCCTGGGACCCTGGGATCATCAAACCAGCACTAGCTTGGAGTGAAGACGACCAAGGGCTGGAGCTTCATGTGACTCTGAGTGACTCACCTCCCTGCCCAGGGAGCTTTGATGGTGTCCACAGATGAGATCAATAATTTCTCAGGTACCTTCCAGTCCTGATCTGCCCAGGTCTCAGACAGCAACTTCTAGGTCCCCGTAACTAGGGGGTTTAGGGCCCCATGTGACTAGAACATCCCTTTGTCAAAACCTAACAGGACGCTAAGCCTGCTCCTGCCTTCCCCATGCTGCCTTCTGCCTGGGGCTCTGTGACAGGTGGAGTCGGCCATTGCCACCAGCAGATGGTGGGCACTGCCTGAAGTCTTCTTTCTTTCTTTTCTTCCTTTTTTTTTTTTGAGACGGAGTCTTGCTCTTGTGCAGGCTGGAGTGCAGTGGTGCAATCTTGGCTCACTGTAACCTATGCCTTCTGGGTTCAAACGATTCTTCCTGCCTCAGCCTCCCGAGTAGCTGGGACTACAGGTGTGTGCCACCACGCCCAGCTAATTTTTTTATTTTTGGTAGAGACAGGGTTTCGCCAGATTGGCCAGGCTGGTCTCAAACTCCTGACCTCAGGTGATGTGCCCGCCTTGGCCTCCCAGAGTACTGGGATTACAGGGGTGAGCCCCTGTGCCTGGCTGCCCTGAAGTTTTCTGATCCTGTCCACTGGCATCCATGTGTCTCCTGCTAGGAGGGAGAGGAGATCCCTGGCGTGTCCCTGTGGCAGAGTGCCTGGGATGCTTTTTCAAGGGGAACGCAGTGGCCACCACACAGGACGTCAGCCCCGCCTGTGAGGTGGTAGCCAAGGTGCCAGACCTTCTTACAATACAAAGTGAAACCAGGCATCCGAGAGGATGGACTGCAGATCTGAGCGTCTCAGCAGGAAGATCACAATGCCCTAAGGCCAGGAAGGAGAGAAAAGTGGTTCCCTCTTCATGGCCCTTGCTGGGGGAGCTGAGCGGGGGGTGCTTTCCCAGGACCGAGACTCAGTGAGGGTTGAACGTGCGAAGGCCTGGCTCGAGCCCAGGTGACAGATATGAAAGGGGACCTGTGCCTGGGGGGGGCATAGGCAGCTCCACGGTGAAGATGGGCGTACCCTCAAATCTCACCTCCCTCAGTCCTTACCCCATTCTCACCCCAGAACCTGCAAAGCGGTACAATGTACAGCTACCTTCCATTCCCCAAATCCAGCCTCTGAGCCTTTGCTCATGCTGTTCCCCACACCCGCCCTGTAGTGACCTTGTCCCCATGGTCCTCATGCCCAATCCTACTCCACCAGAATAAGTGCCAGGTCTGCCTTCGAGCATCTGTTATCCCCTGGCCCCAGATAAAATTCACCTCCCTTCCTCTGAACACTGATCTGAACCCAGCTTAGGGTCTTGTTTGGTCTACTGTCAAGTCTTGATATTTGTGCCCATACTGTATCCCCCACCAGGCTATGAACTCAAAGACGGTAAACTCGTCCCATCCCTATCACCTCCTCCACGGCCACACATATATAGAAGGTGTTCAGGTTACATGGGTTGATTCATTGAATGGATGAATGGATGGATGGACAGATGGATGGATGGACAGACAAATGGATGAATGGGTGGATGAATGGATGGATGGAGAGATGGACAGACAGACAAATGGATGGATGAATGGATGGAGGGATGGATGGATGGAGGGATGGAAAGATGGTTGAATGAAGGATAGAAGGATGGTCGGTAAGGATGAGTGGGCATATGAATGGATGAATGAGTGGCTGGTTCCATGAAAGAGAGCAGGTGATCGGATGGGTGATGGGGGTGGGAGAGGAGGATGGACACTGAGGGGCTGGGACTGGTAAATGGTGGAGAGTTGGGCAGATGGATAGAGAAGTAGATGGATGGAGTAGGGAGGATAGGCCAGCTTTATTCATTTGTTCCAACTCAGAGAGCTAAGGCTTGGGAAGGAAATGCCTCCCCAAAGCTCCCCAGCTGTAATGGCAGAGCAGACAGGGATGAAGGCCAGGCCCACTGCCACCTGCCCACCTTAAGGGATGGTACAGAAGGGCCGAGTGGCCACTCATCTCTTTCACAGAGATGCACGTGGCCCAGATGAGCACAAACATCCTCCCCAAGAGCTGCAGCCACCCCATCTTGTGGGTCAGGGCCAAGGGGTGCAGAGGGTCCGGGAAGAAGGAGGAGGGGTGGTCAGAATAGGGATAAAGAAGGGCCGAGCTGGCCCCAACACTAGAGCAGCCAAAACACAGGAAAACCGCTCAAGCCAGGTCTGAGGCCAGAGTGAAACCCCATCTCTGTACAGGTCGAGAGAAGGAAGAGCCACTCCCTGACCCCCATCCTCCCCACCCTTGATGGAAGCCCAGATCTCTACAACGAGGAGTATCATCCAATCCGTGCTAAGCACCCTCATGCTCTACTGCAACAGCCTTTCCAGAATCCTCCGTATTCAAACACTCAACATGGCCTCACAGCACAGTTAATAAAGCCGAGGCTCCATGCCCCACGTGATGGATGGGAAACCAAGGCCCAGCAGGCAGGGAGCACTTAGCCCTCTCCCATTTCCTGCAGCCCTCACAGCAGAAACACCTGACCAGTTCTATATTTAGACAGAGACCCTGGGCAGGGCCTGAGTCTCTGAATTCTCCAACTTCCCCCAACATGGGTCTACCTGAGACTCAGCACCTGGGCCTTAGCCCAGGTGGGACCTGGAGTCTATTTTGCAAAGCTTCCTGGGTGGATCCAAGTGCAGGGATCGGATTTTGGATGCAGAGCCGCTGCTCTCTGGCTTCCTACGTTCTGAAAGCTAAGCTCTGGGTCACCCCAGGTTGGGGACATGGGCTTCCTAGGGCACCAACGCAAGACCCAAGAGGAAGGGACTGCTGGGAAGGACAGCATCCAAGGCCTGGTCTCAGCTGACCCAGGGGGTTCCATCCTGTCTGTCACGAGAGTCTAGCCAGAGAGCTCCAAGGGCTAAGGCCAAGTCTCTCAGTCCCGAACCCCAGCCTGTAAAAGCCCCAGGATGATGGGCAACCTGGGCAGCATCCAGAAAAGTTTTCTGGAGGACATGGAACAGAGGAGGGGAGCAGGGGACAGGTGCCTCCCCCATGCTGGCCACAGCAGGCACACTGTCCCCTAGAGAACAAGGGCATCCTGGGGCCATGCTTCATGCAGGAAGCCTCCTCCCTGGGCTGGGGCAGCAGGGGCAGCACACGCCAGTGTCACACAGGGAAGCCGGCCTTGGAGAAAGCTCCATCTGCAACCACAAGCTGATTCCTCAAAGCCTCGGCAAGCTGTGGCCCTGAGGGTGGGCAGAAGCCGAGGGGAGGCAGCCACACAATCCCTCCTCTGTTGAAGCTGTTCTCCAGCTCCTCCTCCCCCACGGAAGAATAAATAGGGCCCTTGTGGGGCCCAACCCTGGCCACTTGGGACAGAATCAAGGCCCTCAGGGCAGCTGATGGGGGTTGGGAGGGGAGGGGAATAGGGGGAGGGAGATGGGGGAGAGGGGAAGAGAGTGGGTACCCTGAGGCTGGCAACGCTGTGATTACTCAATAGCCACCACCCCCCAGCGTTCTCCTTCGGCTTCCAGGGAGCCATGGCCTCCTCGCAGAGGGCAGAGAAAGTGAGGCTGAGGAACACGCTTGGTCCCCAGGATCAGTCCCCCAGAACATGAGGTCCAGCCATGACTCCAACCCCTGAAAGAGATCCATCCAGCCTTCACCAAGGCTCCCAGCTAAGCCTCGACTTCTCAGCCGCGTCACACAAGGCAAGAAGGGCCCGAAGCAGCCACACTCTGCTGGGGACGTGGCATGGAGTTCCAACCCGACAGCCAGGCTGGGGTCTCTCCATAACTGGGAAATGGCAGACCATTGGTTCTGGGCCGGAGCAGCCGTCCTGAAACTCCTGTCCTCATGAGGGGCAGAAGTCCCCGAGGGTCACCCACTCAGCCCTGCGGGGGCTACGGTATCACCTCAGCCTCAGGCTCCCCCAGAGCAGCCCTTGCAGGACAAGGGATGGAAACGCGGTGGATTGGGGACAGAAATGTGGGGATCGGGTGCACAGGCCGAATGGCGCCAGCTCCGTGGGGCCCCTCAGAATAAACCCACCTCTGCCGCCACTGCATTTCTGGACCTCAGGCTGGGACCTTCCTAAGCCCGCGGCTGTGCTCTGTGGATCCCCCGTCGAGGGCCCCGGAGGCTGAGGGAGTGACCGCTGTTCCCCCGTGCCCGGGCCCCACACCCCGCACCCCGGGCCGCATCTTGGCCTTGCCCATCTTGGCCACCAGCTGGAGTGGCGTGAGGCCGTCATTGTTGCGCGTGGTCTCCAGCTCCCAGCTGCCGCTGCGCCACAGGATCATGTTGTACATGCGCTTCACGAGATCATTCTGCGTCTGGAAGTTCTCGGCCATGGTCACCAGGGCGTGGAGGATGTTGTTGCCCCGTGAATCCTGGGAGGCAATGTCGGTGCACTGGTGCTCCATCAGCAGTTCCACGATCTTGGGCTGGTTGGTGCACACCGCCAGGGCCAGGGGCGTCTCGCCTGGGGGAGGAGGGCGCCGAAGCTGGGTTCTGGGTCCTTGGCTTAGGTCGCAAGCAGCATTCCCCAAGCTGCAGGACTGGGGCCCACACCCTGTCTCAGCAGGATTGGCAAGTGAGGTTCCCTGGTCCTCTCCCCATCTCCTGCTTCTGTGGGGGAGGATGAAGCTACATCACTGTGCAGCCTCCTGACTGGCCTCCCTGCTGCCACCCTGGCCCTTCTGTACCCTTCTGGGGTACAACCTGTTAGCGCCTCCCCCAGAATGAAAGCTCAAGTTCCCATGACACCCACAAAGCCCTGTGTCCTCTGACCTCTCCTCCTCTCCCATCACTCACTCCCCTGACAATAGCTTTCCTCCAACACGTGGCCAGCCCCAGGCCTTTGCTTGGCTATTCCCGCTGCTCATAGACAGCCAGTCCCTCACTCCCTCACCTCCTTCAAGTACTTGTTCAAACGTCACCTTTCAGTGATCCAGCCTAACTGGCTCTATTTAAAACTAAAGAATTTAAAACTATTTAACTCTATTTAAAATTGAACTGTTTAATTCTATTAAAATTAAAATAAGGTGGTGGGTCACGCCTGTAACCCCAGCACTCTGGGAGGCCAAGGCAGGCGGATCACCTGAGTTCGAGACCACCCTGACCAACATGGAGAAACCCTGTCTCTACTAAAAATACAAAAAAATTAGCCGGGCATGGTGGCACATGCCTGTAATCCCGGCTACTTGGGAGGCTGAGACAAGAGAATTGCTTGAACCTGGGAGGCGAAGGTTGCTGTGAGCCAAGATCAAGCCATTGCACTCCAGCCTGGGCAACAGAGGGAGACTCCATCTCAAAAATAATAAATAAAATTAAAATCCACCCCTCTCTTGCCACAGACAGAACTCCTAATGCCTGTCCTCTCTGCTTTACTTTGCATTTTTGAAGAGCACTTATCATTTCCTGTCATATTACACTGGCTCCAACCAGGTTCTCCGTGCAGGGCAATGGTACACACTAGGAACTGGACAATACCGTTTGCCAGGACACCCAGACCTGGACACCCAGGGCTGCCCAGAGCACAGGCTAGCTAGTCCTGCTGATAAAAAAAACTACCCAGAATATAGTCCCAGCTACTTTGGAGGCTGAGGCGTGAGAATCACTTGAACTCAGAAGGCAGAGGTTGCAGTGAGCCAAGATTGCACCACTGCACTCCAGCAGCCTGGGCAACAGAGCCAGATTCCATCATCAAAACCCCAGAAGAGAAAACAAATGGGTGATCACCAGTCAGGCAAGACTGGATGGGAGGAGGGGTCTCCTCTGCAACAGAGTTGCGCAGAGAACTTTCCGGAGCCCGTGGTTCCTGTCCTGATTGCAGTGGTGGTGAGCCAACCGTCCATGCTGTGAAAATGAACAGAACCGTGCTCTAAACGGCTGGATTTCACTCTGTCTACATTATGCATTTCCATTTGTTTTTGTAGAGCATCCTAACCCCAGTTGCTTTTGGACTCTGTAACTTGTCAGGCAGAGGAGTTTGGTCCTCTCACTCTCGACTTCCGACTCCCTGTTTGCAGTCCTGAGAGGCACTGGACCCGGCACACCGAAGTCAATGCCAGCTACACTGGGGCAAGTCCTTCCCTTTCACAGAGCAGTCTCCTCACCTGTAAAATGTGGCTGCCTCCTTGGCCTCTCCCAGGTCTCTGTTCCCTCAGAGGGATGTCCAGGATGATGCTTCTAAGACCACCAGGTGACACCCCCGGGGAATGTGGGCTTCTCCCCCTCTCACCTCCCAGCCCCTCCTTCTCTGGTCCACACTGATGTCCTCCCAGATGGACATCTCCAGCCTCCTCCTGACCCAGCTCTGTCCTCTGGGGCACCAGAGCCTCTTGACCGTGGGGGTGGAGTGCAGAGCGAGGCAGCCCCTCCCTTCCGCCCTCCACCCTTTCTCCTCCCTTCCTCCCTCTCCTTTCCTCTTCCCTCTCTGTCCTCTCTTCCTCCCCTCTTCTTACCTCCCTCCTTCCTTCCTCCTTCTCCCTCTTCCTAACTTCCTCCTCCCTTCCTCCCTCTTCCCTCTCCCTCCTCTCTCCTGCCTTCTTCCTTCTTCCCTCCTCCCTCTCCCTCCTTTCTCCTCCCTCTCCCTCCTTCCTCTCCATCCTACCTCTCCTTCCTCCCTTTCCCTCCTCCTTCTCCCTCCTCCCTCCCTCTCCCTCCTTCATTCCTCCTCCTTCTTCCTTCCTTGCTCCTCCCTTCTTCCTCCTCCTTCTTCCTCCTTCCCTGACCTTCTCCCTCTCCCTCCTCCCACCTCCCTCTCCCTCCTCCCTTTCCATCCTCCCTCCCTCCCTTCCTCCTACCTCCCTCTCTCTCCTCCTTCATTCCTCCTCCATCTTCCTTCCTTGCTCCTCCCTTCTCCCTCCTTCTCCCTCCTCCCTCCTCCCTCCCTCCCTCTCCCTCCTCCTTCCTCCCGGACTCGGTGCCGGGCGGGGGGGGACACCCACAGAAGTAGAAGCTCTCGTGCTGGTTCTTGGGGTTGAAGAAGGCCCCCTTTGCGTGGGCGTTGACGTCGGCTCTGGCGGCGATGAGAAGCGCAGTGATGTCCCCCTGCCGCCGCTTGATGGCGATATTCAGCGCCGCCTGCCCTGCGGACCCGGGTAAGGGGGCGTGGGAGCCTCAGCGCCGGGGGGCGGGGGCGGGGGGCTGGCCCGCCCGCCCTCTGTGGCCTCCACACCCTCCCGTGAACCACAGGGAAATCAGGACTCCTCGCCGTGTCTCCCGCCACCGGGAATCCCAGCTTTATTCTTTGCTTCCTTCAGGCTTGCCTGGCCCAAGGAGCGCGTGTGGAGCGCCTGCTCCGAGCTTCGGCACCAGCGCGGGGTTCAGGGGTCAGGGGTGCACAGACGCAGTGTCCATGATTTTCCTCAAGAGGCCACAGTGGCTGGGCGAGGTGCCTCACGCCTGTCATCCCAGCACTTTGGGAGGCCAGGGGGGTGGATCACCTGAGGTCAGGAGTTCGAGACCAGCCTGGCCAACATGGTGAAACCACGTCTTTACTAAAATTACAAAAATTAGCTGGGCGTGGTGGTGTGCACCTGTAATCCCAGCTACTCGGGAGACTGAGGCAGGAGAATCGCTTGAACCCAGGAAGTGAAGGTTGTAGTGAGCTGAGACCGAT